AGTTTCTCCTGATCCTTTAGTATTCCCAGAAGAGCAGGAAGAATAATTTATTTTTGAAGAAACACTTCCACCTGTTGATGTAGAATCTCCAATAGTTTGCCATTCATCTGAATCTACTGAGAAGATAGAATTAACAGCTACTTAAGTTGAACCTGGATTTACAAGCACACTTACAATAACAAATGAATATGGATTTGGATTATACTTCTAAAAACTATAAAAATATCCAGCCTTTGCTGATGGTGAAGAATTCCATTTAGCCAGTTTATAAGATAATGGAAATACAGTTTTGGGAGTATTTGTAACTAAAACTGGTGTTAAATGTGTGACAGCTGATGGATCAGCATAATAATCTACATCTGTATAAAATGATGACTTTGAAGGTGATTGGAGCTTTGTATTTATCAGTCATGGTAAAGGAGTCACTGGATGTGGAGTTAAATTCTTTGAAGAATAACCAGCTTTGAGATAAACTCCTGCATCTCATCCAAATTTCAGTACTTTAGAATTCATTATTGGTGGTGAATAAGATTCTCATCCATCATTCTAAGGTTAAGTATATGGACATTTTGCAGTCTCAGCACCAAATCTACATTTCCAAGATGAAAAAACATACAAATAAATAGTTGATTCATGCAATAATCCTCCTGAAGAAGTTTGTGAATTGGATACACATGAATTAGGAGATTTTGAATTTTCTGGATTTGATGATAACTCTGAAGAGAGATATGACTTTTCTACTTGGGATTCTGGTTATTCAGTTTCTGGTTGGTTCAAATGGGAATCTTTATAAGATTAAGATGTTTGGCACACTGTCTTTAGATTGTCTGAAAATACAAATGCTGATTTGGATGATATTTAATTAGGAGATAGAGATTTGGCTCTTTATCTTGGTAATGAATTAGTTGGCAATCGATATTAAGTTACTACTTATACATATTCAGGATCTGGTAATCCTAATTTATGGGATTCAGTTGAATATGGTTCAACATTAGGTTAATGGCATTATATTTACTTTGGTTACAGTAGAAGAACCAGATATGCTAATTATGCTATCTATTTATCAGAGTCAGAAATGCCTTCTAATTAAATTCATGATGTCCGTCATTATCTTGTTCCTTAAAGAAGATTATATATTGGTAATGATGGTTTATATCCTGCATTCAATGGTAAATTCTATAATTGGCGTGTAAATTCTTGTATTGGTGATGTTAATATTGATGTTGTAAATCCACCAAAGGATATCATATTTGGATACAATCCTTAACCTGAAGTTCCATAAATTGTACCAGAAGTATTACCTGAAGAAGAAACATTTTGGCCAGAAGAAGAAGAAGAATTTGTTCCTACTAATCCAGAAGAGGTTCCATTTGATATTCCATCTGAAGAAGAATCAATTTGGCCAGAAGAAGAGGAAGAGTTTGTACCTCCTCCACCAACTTTAATTCCTGAAGAGGAATCAATTTGGCCTGAAGAAGAGGAAGAATTTGTTCCTCCTCCACCACCTGAAGTTCCTCCTGTTATTCCTGATGAAGTAAAACCTGAACCATTACCTGAACCTTAACCATAACCAGAACCTGAACCAGCTCCTGCACCATCACCTAAACCAGCACCAGGTCCAGCTCCTCCTTCTGAACCTTAAGTTCCAGTTGTCAAAGAGTATTATATTTTATTTATCAATATAAAGATGTGAGGCAACAATTGATGTTACTAAAGAAAACGCTGCTGATATTTTATGTGCTATCTCAGAGTATTTAGCTTAATTAGCATCTGGCCATGTTCCAGAATTAGGAATCAATCCATCAAGAGTATGTTTCTGTTTGTAATATGATGATAGTAATACTCAATATAAATTATTATTAGGTGATTCAAATGAATCATTCATGCAAGTTGAAGCCATTCTTAAAGAGAATGATGCTTACACTATCAATCAGTTAGTTGGTTAAAGAAGAATTTGATTTACAATAATAACATCATCAAATTTATAATCTAAAAGTTTCTAATTATATTATTATTTGTTTTGAGTATTCCTTAAATTTAAATCTACTAATATTTTATAATTTATTAATTTGATATCAAGATTGAAACTCTTAATATATTATTTGGATTTATTCAAGGTTGTTTGATGTTGGATCTAAAATCTAAAAAGGTTTTCATTTATGATTATCATGTGCAATGATGATTAAATTATTTATCTATTAATAAATAGAGCAATAAATAATTTTACTTTGTTTTTATGATTATAAAGATATAAAGAGAATTACTTATTAGAATGATAAAGATTAAATTTACAATATATATAAATATCTATATACAATTTTATTTACATTAATTAAAAACAAAAAATATTACTCTATTAACATTCCCTATATTTAAGAGATTCATGTTATTTTATACTGTCTAACTCAACAACTTTTTAAAAATATCTAATAAATTTAAACCATTTTAAAATGAATAGTTATTTGTTCTTAATTATTAATCATAAGATAGGAGCTTATAGACTCATTTAGGAAATAAGAAATATTTTTATAAAATTCATTTTCAGTATTAAAACAGATTTTTTTTGTTCATTATTTGCTAATAATTTAGTTTATAGATTAAGTCAATAGATAGATGATATTTATGAGTATTCGTTTTCTTTTTCGAATATGGAATTATCTATTTATGTTTAAAGTTATTGAAATTATGTTTTACATGATGCAATATTAATTTAATGAAAGGAAATATATTTCACATAGATATTAGCTCTTAAAGGCAATAATACAAATCTTGCCTTATTTGTTTCAAAGATTTTAGTGTGATGACTAAGGAACATCAATGTAAAAGGTATGATACATCTATATAAACTTAAGATGTAAAAGAGCGGTGTGTGACAAATGTGCTTAAAATAAAATGATTATATTAGGTTATTCAAAAAGCAAAGATCCTCATAGGGTTTGTAATATATGTAAATCTGAGTCAGATATCCTTAAATAATTTGTTAAAACTAATATTATTTAGTTTAACAAAGATTCATTAGGAATCGAATGGCTTAAAAACCTTGGTGTTGATATTAGATAGATTAAAGAATAATATAGAATTTAAGAATAAAAGGATTTACTTGAATATAATTAGTTTATTAATTAGTTAGATTCCATTTATGATGAGATTGATAGAAAAATGAATTATTCAATAAGAGACTTTATGAGTTTAGTAGTATAAGTAGACAAAGGCTCAGTCTTAGGATCTATCAGGAATGTACTTGGAACCTTCCTTAGAAATTATCCAGAAGTAGGCTTTCATCCAAGTTTAATTTTCACTACTTTAATTTTGCTTTGTTTAAGCTCTGAAGTTACATCCTATGGATTACTCTAAGTTATGTATACGCAACTAATTCCTAAGGCATTACATTTTAGGAACTTAAGACTTGGCTATGACTTTAAGTCTGAACTTGGTGTGATGATCAAATCATTCCATAATTTGAAAATTCCAACTGAACCTATCAAACCTTTTCTATAAGAAGTTGGACCTTATATTGTGTCTTTGACTATAAATGCATTTGAAATATAAACATCTCTGTTTATGTTCTCTTAATTATTTTAAGAAGATGGATTTAATGAGTTTATAAAAGTACTTGCATGTTCATTTAGTGTTCATTAATTCAAAGATTCTATAGAAAAGAATAAATTATTTATTCTTTGGAATGTAAAAGATCAATAGTTTTAGAAATATTATTATGAAACAAAAAAATTAAGAAGTGATTCTAATAGCAGTGTAAGATCTATGAGTTAATCAGAATAACAATAATAATTAGAAAATAAATTCAAATAATAAATCATTTTACTTCAATAAGAAAATTCATCTTTAAAATAAGAAATAAATGTGGATAAGATTAAAATTTCTAAACAAAAAATAGAAATTGATTAGTTAAATGATTAAATATAAAGTTTTGAGATAGAACTCAAAAATTTAAGAAATTAATATTAAAAAATTGAAAATGAAAATTCTAATCTTTTAGAATCTAATCAAAATCTTAAATTATAATTTATGAAATAAGAAAAAGCAAATGAATCATCATCATTTACATTATCCACTAAAAGTGATTCAACACATTTAGAAAATGAACTCTTAAAATGCAAATAAGAAATAGAAGTTTTAAAACTATAAAATACTAATCCAACATAAATGGCACAATTAGTTAAATTAAAAAATGAATAAATTGCAAAATTAACATAAGAAAAATCAGAATTAGAAAAAAAAATTGAAGAACTTGAAGAACCAAAAATTTCTAAAAGAACATCTTCAGTTGCATAAATTAGTAGTGTAATTAAGGATTTAGAGGATGGAAAAAATTTACTTGAAAAGAAAAATTAAGAAATCTTAAATTTAAAAAAATAAATATAAGAATTATAATAATAAAAGAAATCAGATTAATCTATGACTTCATCTTAAACTTTAGTTGATAACCCTCAAAGAAACTCTAAAGTTGATAATGAAGATGATATATCAGATGATCTTTAATTATTGATTCAAGATTCAGATCCTGCTAAAAAAATAGCTGCTAGAAATGTTAAATAAATGATAGGTAAATTAAATGAAGAGTTAATTTATTATAAGACTTAAGCAAAATTAAAGAAAGAATAGGTAGAACCTTTCCGTTAGAAAAGTGAATCCTTATAAAAATAACTAGATTATTTAGTTGAATAAAATAAAGAATTATAAATTGAAATTGAGCATAAATAAGATCTTATTTAAGAACTTGAAAAAAAGAGAGTCAAATAAACAATTGACCCAAGACCATAAGTTGTTTAAGAAGATAGAAAAGTCTTAAATGAAAATAAACAAAGTTGTGCTGCAAATTCAGATTGTAAGATTTTCTGAATCAAATATATAACAAATTAATTCATTTATATTGTTTAAGTTTAGTATTTAACAGATTAATATTTTTATTTAATTCTAATTTTAATTCTAATAATTAGTATTAAGTTGATTATCTACTAGCTCAGCTTTGTTTACTATAATCAATGAATAAATTATTTTATGAAATAGAAACCTTCTTTATTACGAGATTAATTTAATTGTATTTATTTATCTTACTGTTCAAAAATCTTTAATTCATATTCTACTTTCAACTTATTAATTTAATTCTAAATCGTCTTCTTATAATAAACTCTTATTTTGTTTAATAAGCTTATTGTTTACTTCATTAAAGGAGTAATTCTTTATTCAATTTATAATAAATAAATATTTTGATCATCTATTTAATAATATGTATCTCTTAATTATTACTCCAATCTTTCAATATAAGTTTCACATTTATAATATTAGTCATCTTTAGTCTAAGTTAAATTTAAACCTTTATTCTTAATTCATGTTCAAAGGATTCTAATTTTCTATACAATATAGTTATTTCATTATTGATTCTTTCAATTTATTTTTCGTATAATTCTATCTTTGAAATTTTCTCTGTTTATTTTGAAACAATCTATTTATTAGTAGCTAAGAGTTTTTACTGTAATTCCTAAATAGTTTTATTCGCTAATTCCAATTAGTATTCTATCAGTTAATTTTTAATTAAGCAAATAACAATAATCGACCTAAATAATATTTCAATTTTATCAATGTAATTTAAATTAGTTCTCTAATTTTCTTAACAAGAATTACCATATATTGTAATTATTCTCAAAATATAGTTTTATTTAATTTATCATTATAATTAATAGAAATTTAATTTAACAATGATCTTCACTGAAGATTACTCTACTATTTATTAAATTATAGATGAGAATTACGGCATAAAATATAACAAGCAAAGAACAATATAGAAATTGTACTTAAATGGAATAAATTATATTTCATTTGATATTAAAGAACTCAAATTAGATAAGGAAAAAGAGAAGAAAATTAGAAGATGTTAATATATAAGTATATAATAACCTTTGCAGTTGTATTTAAATGAAAAAAAAAGAATTTTAGTGTTTAATGATATATTAGATAGCTAATTGTCATAAGACAAAATTAAAGATCTTACTTAATCTGATTATTCAAGAATATTGGTATAGTTAATATTAGGTAATAGATTATTATAATTAAAGTTTTCAATGAGTTTGAGCATAGAAATTTCAATTGGTAAATAAGTGATTTGAGTTAGTTATATTATATTGATGGAATTCTCAAAGTAATAATAATTGATTATTAATAAAACATTAACAAATAAGATAGACAAGACCTATTCAAAGAATTAAGTATTTCTTTTTCTTAATTTTTTTAGTTATTTAAAATTTCAAGACATACATACCACATATAAATTAATATCTAAATTTAAAGGAAGATCCCTAATTGCAAAATTTATTAGAATATTTATTTTTTTAGTAAAATATCTCTTCAAAATAATTTGAAGTTGAAGCCTCTTATGAATTTGTAATCTCATGGTTATTAAATATTTCAAATTTTTAATAAAAAATCTATTATACTCCATTCTGTATAATAAAATCATTTGATACTCCTGAAATTATTAAAAAAATGATACATAATGCACCTAAAATGATGATTTTTAAATAAAAAAAAATTCTGTAAAATCATAAGTATTATGAAGATTTCAAAAAAAATATAGATAGAGAAATAGAAATTTCAGAAAAAACTAAAGATTATAATTTGTTATTATCAAGTTTATTTTATATCAGAATTTTAGATAAACCATTTATGTTTATCAAATACTATAAATATACACTTAGTGATATATTTAAATAATGGATGGATTAGAATTAGAATGTATAATTCTACAAATTAAAAGTCTTTCATTTATGTGATAGCTTTTCTAAAGCAATATATGAGTTGAAAGTATGTAATTCGATTCATAGAGATTTGAAGCCTCACAATCTATTCTTAGAAGACTGGAATGAAGATGAATTCGAGAAATTTTTTTAATATTAAATAATTATAGCTGATTGGGATAGATCTAAAGTATAAACTTCTGAATAAGACTAAGCAAAAAAATAATAAAATATTCAGAAATAATCATGTAATATTTAATAAGCTAAAGAAATCTACATGACTATATTTAATTCAGAAAATACTGCATAATATGATGCACCAGAAACAATAGAAACATTAGAATATAATATTTGGTAATTTGGTCTTATATGTTTTACAATTGCTAACAGGGGTATTTTTGCAGGTCATAGGTTGGGATGCAGAGCTATTGATGACTAAGAATATAATTAATATTTTTCTCGTGATGCAATCGAAAATAAATTATAAAAAGAAAATTATCCATAAGAATTTTTAGATTTATTGGCTAATTGTTTAAATAAAAATTACAAAAATAGACCATCTCCTGAAGTTATTCATTAAATTTTGTGGAAATTAACTAAAAAAGAGCTTGAAATATAAAGAGATAAGTAAAATGAGCAAACTTCATAATAATTTTAAATAATAAGGAGTTAGTAAAATGAGCAAATTTCATAATAATTTATTTAGTAATGATTTCATATTTATAAAAATATTGCTTTCTTCATTTTGTTTATTGAGTTCAGAAGATTAATCTTCATGATAACCTATAAACTGAATATTGGAATCATTATCTAATTGCATTTCATCTAATTTCTTCTAAATTTTCTACTATTTGGCTGCTTCTTTTTTTTTTTATTATCTATTTTTTATAAAATATTCTGGATTTTAAGCACCTGTCAAATATTATTCTATAAACAAAATGTATTCTTCAATATTTTCAATTCTATTAGATTATATCAAATCTAAAAAGGCACAATGTTATATGTAAAATTAAAACCATTTACTACATGCTTCATTATTAAATAAAGCTTTAAAATCTTTAAGGTTGTAAGTTGATTACTGCCCTTTATTTTTTTTATTTAAAAACATTTCCATATTTTAAGGTATTGGAGTACCATTTTGTTAGACCTAATTCATTAATATATTGTCCATAAACTTTTTAAAATTGTTCCCAAATGTTTTTGGAATATTTTTGGTATTGGTTTCTTTAAGCATTAGAGTTTAAAATCTTTAAATAGTATTGTTTTCTTTTTCATATGAAATATATGTTCTATAATTGGGAATATTATCATTTTGATTAAAAGAGTATTGATCAACTTCATAATTCTAATCTATTTATTTAAAATTATTTTAATTATCTTCTCTGTCCCATAAACTCATCAAGTTATGATTTTTATATTAATAATTGTATTTTTTTTATTGATATTTAATTTGATATAAGAGATATGATTAATAATAATATATTTAAATTTATTTAAGTGAGATTACTTAGTGTATTTTTTTTTTATTCTATTAAAAAAAATGATTGAATAATTATTATTGATAACATTTTAATGATTCCTTAATAAGTTTATTGTTAATTAAGATAATTATATCACGAAAAGTAGAAAAATTATTTTAAAATAAATCAGAATAGTAATTTAAAAAATCAAGAGTTATCATATTGACTGCGATTAATATAACCAAATATCAAATTCTATGAAAAATAATTTTTATAATTTAAATGAAACAATTAATGAATCAGTCTATTTATTAACTTTTATTTATATAACTTTAAAATAAAATTGGAAAATTCATCAGATGTATTTCTAAAAATACAATCATCCAAACTCTAAAATATTTAAGAAATGAGATAAAATTAACCAACAAAATCAAAATATTATTTTAACTATCATATTAAAAATATTATAAAAATTCTTAATAGATTTTCAATTATTTTACAACATTTTGATTATGCCTTTTATTTTATAATTATTTTAGTAATGTAATGTTAATTAAGGTAGTTCACATAGAGTTTAAATTTTGATTTTATGTATAATAATTTTAAAATTATAAACCTTCCATTTTTACTGAAACCATTAATTTATATAATAACTTAACTAAAATGAATTATTTTTGGAGTACATTTTCTATCAAAATATCATATATCAAATATGAAAGTTATTATGAAAAAAAAAATTTAGATCGGAAATATTTAGTTAAATTTGAAATGCTTAACTTGATCTAATTATTTAAAATTTTATAAACTCATTTAAGAAATATATATTTAAGTCTAAATACGATATTTAAAGAAAATAAGATTTTCTATTTTCAAATAAATTGATGATAATTAAATTATATCAGTTCGTAATTGAATAATAAATAAAAATAAATAAGAGTTAAATTAAATAAAATACTCTGATATTATTTCATTGTAAAAATTGAACTTAATAATTTATTAATTAGATTTGTTATTTGAGTCTAGAAATATCTTCTTAGAAGAACCTATAAAATATAAAGAAATAAATGGATACTTATTTTGTTCATTAAAATATTAATGGATTGTATTAATATTTAATTCTTGAGCAGATTTGATTTATTGTAAATGAGATTTGAAAGTTTATGATTGTTATATGACTTATTTCTTAATTTAAGATTATTCAATTTTTAAAGACTGCAACTTATATTTGATCTAAGTGGATTAAGGATATAATATGTACAGCTTTAAGAGTTTACTTTAATTTAATTTCTTTAGGAGTAGGTTTATTTTAGGACTTGAATTTAGTTGGAACAAGAGATTAACCATGTATGATAAATTATATAGGAGGTTAAGGGGATGATTAATATAAGTGATGTTTTCTTGATAAAGCTGCTGATTCATTTCTGATAATAAACATTTATCGATGTGAAATTTTGGATGTTTAAGTTTTCATTATTAAATAATTAAATTGTATATTTCATAAAGAAATAATAGACACCCATATTAGATTATAAATAATGTTAAAAATAAATTATATAAAAAGTGAATTTCTAGATTTAAATTTATGAAACTAAAAGAAATACTTAAAGAAATATTAAAAATAATAAATAATTAACATGTATTAGTTAACAATTTAAGTAATTTTATATTATATACATTATTTTTGTTTTTATTTTTAAGAGAAATATCAAAAATAACATAGATAATTAGAAATAATTATGTTATATATTGTTAGATAATTATTTATTTGAATGAATAATTTATTTTTATTATACAATCAAAATTTGTTCTATTCTTTTTCAATAATTTTATCTGATGCACTAATCAATTGAATAAAATTGATATACTAAATAATTATGATAAAATATCTTACATGTTTTAAACATAAAAATGGAACTGAAACGTACATTAGTATTTAAATTACAAACCAATCAATAAATACATTCAGATATAAAGTAACCATTGCTGTCTATAATTATAAATATGAATTATATTTACTTCGCTTAATAAAACCATGAAAAATAACATATATGGAACTTTGTAATATATCTCTAGTATTTTATATTTAGAGACTGCTGTTTTGTGATGTTTTTCATTACAATATAAAGTAGAGTACATCTAATACCAATGACTACATAAATCCAAAGCTAATGCCCACAAAAACAAAAATCCAATAGTTGGATATAATTTATAGAGTACTGCCAATAAACAAGCATTGGAGAATCTATCAGTTACCTATAGATATTAATTATATTAAATACCATATCTAAGACACTTCCAAAAACACTACATTAATTGAATTTTCTGGCAGCCATTCCATCAAAAAGATCTCCTAATTAACTCACTGAGTAGACAATAGCAGAAACAATAGGATTAAAGGATCCTGTATAACAAAAGACAAGAGCACATATAACTCTTGCATATCCAATTAGATTTGGAATATAAAAGTATACAGACATATATATATATAATTAATTAATTTATCATTTTATAAACACTAATACTCTCATTAAATCATCAGCATCAAATCCACAACTATCAAATGTTCTTAATTTATTATTTCCATTTCTTCCTTAAACTAATATCAATTTTTAATCTACTGAATAAAATTCTTCAAAACTCATATCTTTTACTAATTCTGTTCCAACTTTACCAACAACATAAATTTTATCACATTTAAATGATTTAGTTGGTTCATTAGGTAATAATTCATATTCCTCTATTTCTGTTAATAGATTCTTTGTAACTTTTATAGTTGGTATCCTTAAATCTGACATTGCTTCATTTATAGATGTACAAATAGCTTCTAAATAAGCAATATCTATTTAACATAATAGAAACACTTCAACAACTAATACCCATCCTTTTTGACCAACTTTTAATTCACTCATATCAGTTTTGTAAAGAGATTCCAATAATTCTTGAAGATATTAAGCTTTTTATTTTTCATCATTTGTTCTCTTCATTGAACTTACATTTATTTTAATCTAAGATTAATCCCCCAACTCTAACTTTATTCCAGTATAGATTGTGATTTCTCCCTCATATTTACATGAACCACTTGTGCATATAAGATGAGATCTCAACAATTTAATTTCTCTCACTTCATTATTTTTACGTCCATCACTTCTTATATTTACTGCAATTCCTCCTTTTATGAATTCTATTTATCCTGTGCTTAACATTAATTGTTTTCACTAATTAATTTAATTCTTTATAAATTTAATTGTAATTATTAACAATACAATATGAATAACTAAAATCAAATTTATACTTTTATGTTATTAAGATGTCTTGTAAATAAATTCAATTCTTATTAATATATATTTATTATTAGTTAAAATATTAATATATCATGACTAATGATGAAAATAAAGCAAATAATTAAAATAATATATATATTAATAAAATAGAATTTCAATTCTTTTAAACTAAATAAGAAATAATATTTTAAAAATTCAAGATGAATTATTTGCCGAAGCTTTACTGAAAGAATAATAAAATTTTCTTAAATTTTCTTTAATTAATATTATAATTAACAGAGAGCATATGTAAATCTATTAGGATCTAAAAGATAAAGGAAGTTGTTTCAAATTATTAATTTAGGAAGAATATTAGCAATATAAAAAAATGGGATTTATAATGCTAATCATACAATTAAAAGAATGAGAATTTGCAAATATCTAGGATAAGTATTCATTTCCATAATTCCTGTTTTTAATCTATAAAAATCAGCCAAACTTCTAATAATAATTTAATAAAAGTAAAGTTTCAAGAGTTATGGTTTTTAAATTTATATGAATATGTTGTTACTATTATTAACTAAGATCAAGTACTTAGTTGAGATGATTTAAAAAGAATCTTAAGAACTATTAATAAAAAATCTCTTATGAATGTAAAAATGTGAAGTTATAATATAATTAATTAAATGAATCCTGAACCAATTACATATTCTTCTTTAATAGTGTTAAATATGAGTGCATTTCCTAATTTATCACTATATACTAATGGATTCAGCTCATAAAATTTTAATTTGAGATCATTTCATTAATTAAAAGGAGACTTAGATCAAGATTATTAAAATTGTGTTTTTCGAATATTTCCAGTTTTAAATTATAGAGCACATCATGATTTAATAGAATAATTCAAAGATTCTAGTTTTAAAAAATTTGAAGAATAAGAATAAAAAGAAAGAAAGCAAAAAATTTAAACAACTTTGTTAAATTTAGAAAATGAATTGTCTTCTAACATATCTCTAAATAATAAATTAGCAGGAACTCCATTAGTGTTTAGCTCTTCTATTTTTCATTTGGTTCATGTATCCTCTTTGAAATTTCTAGCTTTAGATGATAATAATTTAGAGGCAATTCAATTTAAGTTAATTGATTTTCCAAATGATAATACTTTATTGAAGTTTAATCCTTGTCTAAATTTTTAGAAGTTAAGAACTAATGTAGTTTATAGTGGTGATGTTGTTTGTATATCAGCAAATAAATAAGTTTGTAATAGAACTGCTAATTTGTTTAGTGATTATTGGGGATTAAATTATTATGAATTAAATGATGAACCATAGAAATATGAAGATGAAGTATGTAGAGCAAAAGTGATAGCTTCAGTTGAAGATTCAACTTAATGGAGAATTATGATATTTTAAAATTAAAAAGAGAATTAAGAAGCATTATTTGTTGGTGATGTGGCAATATTCAATTTGCCAGAATTGAATGTAAGAATTTTATAAATCGATAGTTATATTTTAATGCAAAGAAAACATAAGATATATAAGAAAAAGTTAAAGAAATTTTAGATCGTAATTCCGTAGATGATATCAGCAATATTGTTCAAGATAAATTTGTATTAATAAAATAATAAACATTATTTCCAATTCCTTAAGGTGTTATTTCTAGATAAGTTAGTGAAGAAGTTGGTAAAAATGAAGTTAGAAATAATAAATCAGATTCTTAAAATAATAGTAACATCTTTGAAAAATAAAAATCTATGTAATCTCGATCATCTTAAATTATTTAACCTTCAAAAAATGTCAAAGAAATAGATTAAGCCTTATATTCAGAACTTAAAATATTATTTAGTGATTTTAGTGGTAGTAAATCAGAAAAAATTAGAATCCCCTTTAGTGCTTATTGGAGAATAGAATCTGAGAATTTTTGTGGAGGAGAAGTCAAATGGGAGAAATGTTACAGAATTAGACATTTTTAAACAGGTTAATATTTGGATATTAATATAATGAGATAAGTTAGACTTACAGATTAAGTACCAAAAAGTACTTTATTTTAATTTGTTCCAATTAAATAGAATTCTAAATTTGTCAGTAAGGATTCTTATTTTCTTATTAAACATTTTCAAACTGGAAGTTACATTTCTATAAAAAATGATCCTGAATTCCATATGAAAGATGTTAGTACTACTCTTGATATAAATTTAATTAATTGTATGAAATTCAGAAAAGCTGATTATGAGGATGTATGGGAAAAAAGATTTTTAGTGTTTTTGGTACCTATGTTGAAAGAGGCCATTTCATTTTTTGAAAGAGTACAACCTCTTGCAAGTATAGTATACATGAAAAAGAGTGAAGTATAGGAAAGAATAGAATTTTACTATTTATTTGATAAGCTTAATTCTTTATTAGATATTTTGAATCAATTTATGTACAATAAATTAGTCAGCAATATTTAAACGACTTAAGATTTTTCATTTGTTTCTCAAAATAGATAAGATGTAATTAGAGAAGAAAATATCTTGCCTTTATTAATTTGGTTAATTTGTAAGACATTTCCAAATCCAGATGAAAAGATTGAAGGATCTGAAGAACATCTTATTAGTGATTTATGTGGAGAAGCTTCTTTCATTCTTAGAGTTTAAACTATGCTTTATTAAAATATTGATAAATCTAATGATGTTGAATATGAAAGGAAAGTTCAAAAATTGAAAGAACATTTAGAAGAAAATCACAAAAAAAGAAAGAGACTTCTATAACTTAAATTATTTGAAACTATTAGAATAGCATGTCATAATAATTTGTAAAATTAAGAAATAATAATGAAATTCTTCAAATATTTTGAAAAATATATTACTATTGATTATGTATGCAATACTATAATACAATGTATTACAAAAAACTATTCAATTTTAAGTTCATTAAATAAATAAGAATTACCAAATGATATGAAATAAACTTAAAATATGAGTTTAGAATAGAAAACTCAAAAAAGTTAAAGCACAATTTTATCAAGATTAGTAGATAGTCTATAAAAGAGTGATTAATTGTAACCTGATTTACTTAGATTTATATCTGAAACTTGTGAAGCCAATGGAGAACCTGTATTTTCAAATTAAGAATTCTTATTGAATTAAATTCAATCATTGCATTAAAAAGTAAAGAATGATATGGGAGAAGATAAGGTTTTAATGAATCTGGAACCAATAAAAGATTAAGATGGAGATTATGTAGAGTTTTATATTACATATAAAACATCAAATAAAACATATGTGACTAAAATGCTAAATGAATTTCTAATTGAATATAGATAATAAAGAGAGTCCGATCCTATTTATGTGTTACAATACAATTATTTAATTGAGTAGTTGGCATTCTACTCTAACATTTGTTTTCATCGAAATACAGCAGCCAGATAATTAATTTCTAAAACATTCACCTATTCCTTTTTGTTATCATATGCTGAATAAAATAATTAATCCTCTGGTGATGCATATTATGTTGATGAATAAGTGAGAGCTTACTTCTTTCGAATGATAAGAACTTTGTACATAGACAGAGAACCTTATACTACTACACCTAAACCTGAGTTAGTCAAAATCTTGGAAAATAAAACTACTTAGAAATAATTATTTTTATTTGATGAAGCATCTAGTAAAAAGTAGTTAAAAGGAGATTTTGATATTTAAAAGTTAAAATTAAAAATGCTTAAATTTTTAACCTACTAATCAGAAAAATTAGACAAAAACTTAGATGAAAATTTGGTATATAATATGGAGACCTTAGAAATCATTAAAATTTTAGAACTTATGTTGAAATTTGAATTATTTTGGAAAAAAGATAATGAAGAACCTGTATAAAAGAAATCTACTCATAAAAGAGGAACTTCAATATTTAATAAGGTTTAAGAAACTGGAGGTGGTTTGAGAGAAATTTATTAATTAATTATAGCTCTTTCTAAAATACTTGAATATGATCATTAATATTTTAAATGTCTTGATAATGCTAAAATTAAAAGGAATTGTTAAATTGATAAAGATAAGGAACAAGGATTTATGAAATTTAATATTTCAGGTATCAGCCAAGTATTCGAAAAGGAAGATAAAGAAAAAGAGGAATAATCAATATAGAATTAAAACTTTAGATAAGTTAAATAATAAGACACTGAAGTTATAAATGATTCTCTATTCAAAAAAATGAAAAATTTAAGAAAAGTTCTTCATAGATATAATAATAAAACCTTTACTTTGAGGGAAAATAAAGAGGAAGACTTTTAAGTATTAATAAAAATATAGATTTGTTAAATATTTTCATATTTAATGGATGTTTCATAAGATCATTGGATTGATAGTGCAATAGAATTTTATAAATCCCACATATAAAATAAATAAATGAATGAAGAAGTCAATGAGGAAGACTTAATAAAATTGTTTCCTCAAGAAATTTTAATGTCAGGAGAACAATGGGTAGATAAACCTGAATTAGAAAAAAAGCCTATTAGATAATCAGGCCCTACATTAAAAAGCTTTGATGAAGTTCTTAAAAGACCATTTATTGAAGTTTTATTGATTTCCTTATATTTTGCAAGAAATCCACAATTAGAAAATTAAATAGTAGAATTAATATAAAGATTTGCAAGATAAAAAAAAGAGTTTTTGTAACACTTTGATAACATATAAATATTAGATACTAATGAATCATAATAATTATTTAAGGTTTGGGTAAAAATGATAGCATCATTAAAGAATAATGTACAAAGAAGCCAGACATGGATTACAGAGAAAAATAGAATCATGGATTAAACTCTATAATGTTTATGGAAAATTGATAGTATATTTTAATAGACTGAAAGTGTTTCATTAAAATTAAAACAATAAATTTTTGAACATATAGGTGGATATGAAGTTTTATTAGAATTAATATATAAGTCCTTAGTTGTGATAGATTAAAAGTCTTTTCATCCTGATTTAATAGCTTTATTAAAGCATACTTTAAATATTATGGGTTTATTTGCAAAGGATAACGAAAGAAATGTATTGACTGTTTATAGAAAAGTAGTAAAAAAAGTTATAGAGAACACAAATTAAAATATTGGATAAATTAGTTTATTATGTTCTTTATTTGAAAAAAAGCCAACTTTATATGGTTAGCTTGGATAATAGGAATATGATTATTTTATTATTTTGATTAAACAACATGGAAGATATCCTGAGTTTTTATAATTTTATTATGAAATTTTAGAAGTTACAGAAATACATTCTAAAAAATCTGTAGATATGTTTGAAATTGTTATTGAAAAACTTACAGAACCAATCATATCAAATGAATCAGGTTTAATTCATCCATTATATCCATTTTAAGATAATAATAGACTTTCAAGCTTTTTTGATTATTTGCCTAATAAAACTAAATATTGTTATCTATTCATTAATATATTATCTAAGTGTTTATCAAAGAAAATTAAAGCATCATTAATAAATTAAGCAATAGAATTTTTAAAATTATAAGATATCTTAGAGAATACATTGAAAGTGACACATAGAATATTGGAATGTATTAAATAAAAGGAGAAACCTAATTTTGAAGATACTCAATTATAGAGTGATTATTGGAATATTATAAAATTTATGATTTTTCATAAACCTGAAACTTTAGATGATTTAATGCTCAGATCAAATTCTGATATTTTAAATAAGATTTTAGAATTTGAACATCAAGCTATTATATAAAAAGATTAATTTGTACCATCAAATTTAAATTATTTATTTGATTCTTTATTACCAGTAGTAAATAGATATAATGAGCTTCTTTAAAATGCTTTAATGTCTTCAGAAAAAGATTAGATTCAAATAAGCCAATTTGTTAATTTTTTTCTAAGTAATCTCGATAGAATGTTTTTCTTGGCACCATCAGAATTGACTAATAATAAATAAAGATTATAGACAATTTCAGATTTAGGATAAAGTTTTAATATTTAAGTACCAATTAAATTTATATAATCTGATCTCAATAATAATGTTTAAGAAGAAAAGACTTCTGATTTATAAACCTAAGGCTAATCTCAATAAGATAATTCATAAATAAGTTAATTTAGAAGATAATATTTTGGATAAGAATTTGTTAAGGATTTAGTCAAAAAGGAATCTTTAAAATTATCCAATTCTATTTGGACTATCTAAAAAATGTTTAAAGATGACAAAAGAAAAGAAGCTAAAGATCTTTTGTTAACAAATTCTGATATAATAGTTAAGATTCTAACTTACTTGGAATTTTGGAGGACCAATGGAGCTAGTAGAGAAAATATTATATTTATTTTAAAGGTGTTATCAGCCATCTTAAAAGATACAGAAAATGAATTATTTGAAAGATAAGTTTTATTTAATAGAATGAATGTTACTTAGATACTAATAGTATTATTGTGTGAATCAGAACTTGAACCTGTTTATATGGGTAAATTAATGTCGTTTATGATTTTACTTTTAAAAAATGGTAATTAACATGTATAAAGGACAGCATATGAATATTTCTTATCGAATTCTTAATGTGAAAAATTCTTCAAATAATTTAAGGATGTTTTTGATATGCAAATATTATCAATGAGTAGAGCACATAAACTAAATGATTAAGAAAATAAATTAGTCTGCAAAGCCTTAAAACTTATATAGCTATTTTGTGAAGGGCATAATTAAGATCTACAAAATTATATGAGATCACAATTTAATTAGAAAAATTCATATGATTTAGTTTCATAGATTATATTATTGCTTTATACATTTCAAATATCTAAAGGTAATTATGAAAGTGTTTTATAATGTTTTGAGACATTAACAGAATTGATATAAGGACCTTGTAAATAAAATTAATAAACTCTAATAAAAAGCAATTTATTGGAATATGTAGTTTTAATATTATCAGAAGATGAGAAAATCTTTGAGTAATCTAATGAATATTTTAAATATGATGGAGAGAAATAGTATCGTATATCTATTCATCCTGGTTAATTGGCAAGACTAAAGTTTAAATGTTTAAATTGTTTAGTTTCTTTATTGGAATGTTGTGAACCATAAAATTCAGATATAGCCAGATTAGTAAGAGTAATACCTTTAAATGTATTAACAAACAATTTAACAAGGGTATATAAATTATTTAAAAACTTTGGAGGAACATATAATGAAGAATTATTTTAAAGGGCTGAAATGAAAATTACAAATGAATAACCAGCATAATATTATGAATTTATTATTGAAAATGGCTTTTTTATTTTACTATTAATGTAATAATTTTTAGACAATTAAAAAGCTAAATAATTATTATATGAAGATACTGAAATGAATGATGTATTGAATGAATTTTCTGAAAAAAGTAAGGTTGAAGAAAATGCAATAGCCAACATATTTTCAGGTTTAGAAAATATAGCCAAATTGGGAGGAAACTTTATAGGATAGATTGCTTTAACTTAAAAATCTGAAGAAGAATAAAAATAAGACAAAGTAATATAAGAAAAATTACTATAAGAAAAAATTGAATAAAAAAGATTAACTAAAGATGCAATCAGATTTTTTAGATAGAATACATGCTCTATTGATATGATAAGAGATTAAAAATTATATACTATTTATTTTCCTAAATTACCAATATGTAATTTGCCAAAATCTGCTAGACTAGAATTTCATGATTCAGTCAATAGAACCAGCAGTAAAACTAAATTAACATATTTAATGGAGAGAGCTAATTTTCTAATAAAAGTAATGGTTTATGAAGAAAAATTAAATTAAATCTTTGCAAAAAATCCTATATTTGCATTTTTTGCTTCATAAGGGAAATTATGGGAAAATTTGGCTTTTGTGACTACTTTAGTAATTAATTTTATTGTGCTATTGAGTTATTCATAAGACTTTTATAATGAGGGTGATTAAGGAGTTACAGGAGATTTAATATATGAAAGACTTCAAGATCCAAGAATATTTGGATATAAATAATCAACATGGACTCCTCTTATGATTTAAGGATTAGGAATAACAATGCTTGTTTTCAGTTCATTAATTGTTTTCTTTTTTTTGGTTAAAAGAGCTCCTCTTAAAGTGGATCATATTTGGGAGGATTATCAAAAATAAAAAAAATTAATTAATACTATATTTGATGTAAGTGTTAGAAGTATTAAAAGTTTTTTTATTTTATTGTAGGATCCTGATATATTATATTATTGTATTTATATTATAGCAGGAATAGTAGGTTTAACAGTTCATCCTTTTTTCTTTGCATTTCATTTAATGGATTTTTTAAAATTAGAATAATTAAAAACTGTATTAGATGCAATATGGGGTCCTAGAGAAGAAATAGGATTAGCATTACTTCTATTAGCAGTTATTGAATATTATGTTGGGATATTAGGATTTGTAATATTCTTTAATGATTATCCAATTGTAGATGGTTTAGGTTGTTAATTATAATCAGATAATGATAATATAAATTGTGAAAGAGGATGTAGTACAATGTGGTAATGTGTTTTTATGAGTTTCGATTTAACATTTAAATTTACAGGAGCATTGGGTTCAGGAATAAAGGATTATGATACAATTAATACTTTAACACAAAATTTTGATATGATTAGTAATCCATGGGCTAGAGTTAATTAATCATAGAATGAATATGATGGAGTAGATCATTCATTTACATCTAATTATGTTAGTCGATTTATATTTGATAATGCTGTGAATATAGTATTAGTGATGATTATGTTAAATATGATTTAAGGTATTATAGTAGATACTTTTGGTTCATTAAGAGAAAAACTTTAAGAAAGAATAAAAGATTAAACAATGAAATGTTTTATTTGTGGTATAACAAGAGAGAAGTTTGAAAAGAATGATGAAGGTGGAGGTGTAGGATTTTAAGAACATATAGAATAAGAACATTATATGTGGAATTACATTTATTATTATGCATATTTAAAACATAAGGATGAAAATGATTATAATGGGAATGAATCTTATATAAAGGAAAAAATTGATATGAAAGATATTAGTTGGATGCCTATAAAACGGTAATATATATATTCTATTATATTAGAGCAAGGTTTGCTGAAGAAGATATGGATGATCAACAAAAAGGGAATGAAATTCAAGAAGCAATTGAAATTAAAATGAAGGTTATGAATGATTCACTAGAAAAAATATAAGATAGAATGAAACACATTATTGATAATTTCAATAATTAACCTAAAAGTATGAAAGAAACATTTCATGAATGATTATATATTTTTATATTAATTAATTTCAATAATCTTGAATTCCTGTATATTCTGATTATTTTACTTCTTCTTCTCTTAAATCTATGTTTTAATTCTCAAAATATTCCTCTTCTATATCTAAATTCATTTATTTTTAATCATCATAATCTCTAAAATTAGATTTAAATGTACTCATTTAAATCAATCTATTCATAATCAATGAAATCTTTGTCTAATCCATTAATAAATCTATCATGCATTAAACGTATTAATATATCTTCTTAATCCTCTAAATCTGTATCTTTTATTCTTGCCTCAATCATTAAATCTAATTTTTATTTAATATATATACTTGGATAATCATGATTTGGACCTAATTTATCATACATTTCTTATAAACGAATTTCATATTCTTATTTCTAAATTTAATCGATTAATATTTCTGATAAATTAAAATTAGAATCTGGTTTTTTGTTCTAATTACGAATATACTATCCGACATAAATAAAATATAATAATGGCTATAATCTAAAATTGTAAATTATAGTACATCTCTCATTCTAATTTATTCTTCACTAAAATATTCTTCATTATCTATTAATTCTTATAGCTTTTTAAACCTTCTATTTAAAATTGTTTTAGGTATATTTTTTGTTATAGGTATGTATTTATTTTACATCAAATAATTAATATATTTATTTATTTAATTACCTATTTAATAAATCCTATATGCTAAGAAAATTCATTTATTAATATTTATCATACTTATATTATGTCTTAGTAATTATATATATTTTATATTTCATTTTCTATTTAATTAATTTTATATTTCTATTAATTAATTAGATTGATAAACTTTTTTCTTTCTATTAAATATATTTGATTAATAAATATGATTTCATAATTTGCTCAATAAAATTTACAAGATATTAGAAAAAACAAAGAATTTTATATTTAATAATATATTCAATTTAAGATATTAGTTAAAATTAAAATTATTATTTAACTTAATTATATATTATTGTTTTCTAGAGTTTATCAATAATCACTAAATTATAATCTATGTTTGTATCACTTCTATTGTTTTTGTGTTTCAATTTTCATAATAAATTATTTTAGATTAATCATATTCTCATTTTTAAATCAATCCTAAATATATTTCAAACTCTTATTAAGCTTTTAATCATCATAATGATATATATTTATATATTAAAGGATTCATAATATAATTTTGTATCTTTCTTTAAAGTAAGAATGTGATTGGTAATTTTAAATAAGTTTATAATATTAGAACTTCATATTAAAATCTCTTTTATTCATTTTAACTTTATTAAAATTTTTATTAATATATTTTAATAGACTTACATGGATTTCTACTACAACTACTCAATTATAGAATAAAGATATGCAAATTAATTTGGAATACAAAATAATGTTAGCCGTATTGAGGCTAACTTTTCTTAATAGAATTACACTTAATTAGTTTCTATTGGAATTCCAAAATATAATATTGATGAGAGAAATCTTTATAGATACAGAATCCTAAAATACTTAAATGTATTACAACCAGAATAGTATTGTTGCACCCAGGATGAACACTTTCTTATCTATTAAAATCTTTATTAACATCTTTTAAATGAATAGAAATTAAAAAACATCATTTAATAAGAAGGATTTAAAATCTTACTCTAACTTGTCTTAAGTATAAAATATATTATTATATATTAGTATTTGCTGAATTTTAGAGAAGAAAATTTTATTGGCCACTTAATTCTATTAATCAAATTTATTTTATTGATGGCATAATTTATATTTCATTATTGGAATATGATTTTACCAAATTTAATTAACCATTAAATTATTTAGATAACTTCTGGAAATTTTTCACCTAATATTTCATTCATGAATATTAATTTTAAGAAATGGCATATTTAATGAATTAATAAAATTTTGATTAGATACTTGAATATTTGTTTATAAAAAATGGTAATATTCATCAATAAAGTGGATTGAATCCAAAATATGAAAAAGTACTACAATATCTGTTGAAAATTGATAAATTTAATTCATTATATTAAGGAAATTGTGTTGTCAAAGAATTTAAGAAAAATGAAGTCTTTTCTATTTATCCTAATTTAACTAATGATATTGTATATAAATCAACTGAAATTAAAGGTAATGAAGATTCTTAAAAAACTATTTTATAATAAATTTAGAGAGACATTGAATTAATGGAGTTGTTCTCATATAATGAAAATGTAGCAACCTGCTTTGCATATATTAGAATTTAATAATATGCATTTTTACTATTTAGGAAATTTTTTGGAACATTAGCAAATCGATTTGAGACTTGGCCAAAAAGAGACTAAACTGAAGAATAAATAAGAAAAGATGTATATGTTATTACATCAAGAACTGCAGATTGTATAATATATTTTTAAAAAATAGCATTAAAAATTCTGCATGAAAAATAAGTAATTCATAGAGATCTAAAACCTGAGAATGTATTTATTGACAATGAAAATTTATCTGATTCTTTTAGTTATATTGCTGATTTTGACTGTTCTAAGTAAATTTAAGGATAAATCAATGTCACATTAACCAATGTAGATAGCTCTTATACTCAAAACTATGATCCCCCAGAAACATATTAATCATTTAAATATGATATATTCTAATTAGGTTTAATTTTTTTAACTATTGCAAATAAAGGAAAATATATTGGTGATTATAAAAGAGGACCAAGACTTTTATAAGATCATGAATTTGTTAAATATTATAGTTTAGAGGCTATCTAAAGAAGTTTATAATCTACTAATTATGATATCAATTTCATCAATATTATTGCTTAATGCCTTCACAGAGATCCAAATAGAAGACCTGATATTGGAACTATTTGTAATTTATTAGGGCAATTCAAAAAAAATGTGTAAATAAAAATAATTAGAAAAAGTATAATTTAGTAATAAGATTAAACAAATGAATAATAATAATCAATCTAAACAAATGATTAAAATTAAAAATCAAACCATCAAATATAAAGGTCTAATACTATTACTATAATGTAAAATAGTACAAATAATTAAGCATTTTAAGAATAATCATTAACACCAACTAATTATCAGCAATAATAAAAAATACAAATCAACTATTAAAATCCTGTGGATTTAAACTCCCCATAATAAATAAACAATTTATAATAAAGCTAATTTCAACAATTATAATAATCTTAATCTACAAGAAATTTATACTAGACCAGCAACAATAAAATAAAATTTTGGCTCAATAATTGATTCTATTATTTATTATTTATATATATTTATATTAAATTCTTAAATATAATATTAAATTTGAAGTAAAAGTGATTGTTTAAATCAAATTACAAATGTATATTAAATTTATTTAGATTACAATTAAATTAAATAAAAAAAAGAAAAATAGAATAAGAATTATCAAAGTATAGAGAATTTTAATTAAAGTATTCCTCATTCAAATTTTATATTGATTTTTTAATTACTATAGATGATATTATCATTCTAAAATACATAAATAGATTAAATTCAATTTTAGATATTTAAATTAATTATCTAAATTCTTTCTAATTTTATTTCTCCTTACTATTATATTCACAATTTACTATCTAAAATTTAAATTGATTGAATGGATTATCAATATATGAGATAATATACATTTATTAATTCATAAATTTTAATTATTGATGAGTGATCAATTTGATGATGATGATTTTGTGGATGGAGAAGAAATCTAAAATAATAATCCAAGCAATTAAGTATAAATTAACACTGATCAATAAATTCAATCTAAAAAAGTTGAGGAAATGGATGATGATGATGAAGAATAAATAATTATTACAGATGATAATTAACCAATTCAAATATAATAAAATATTTAAAATGATGAAATTCAAGTACAATTCATAGAGCAAACTTAAAACCAAGAATATCATAGTTCAAAGAGTATTGAAAATTAATAAATTATTGAATAATAATAGGAAAATCATTTAGAAGAAGAAATTTAAAATTCTGAGATAGAATAACAAATAATAGCCAATAATAATGATATTTAATAATCAAATATTCATGGAGAAGAAAATGAATAATAAAATGAAGATGAAGATTATGAAGAAGGAGAAGAAATATAAATTTAGAACACAGAAGAAAATATTATAAAAATACAAGAGTAAATTAATTAAATTGAAGATAATTAAGTAGAATAAGCAGAATAATAATAATAATAATAATAATAATAATAATAATAATAATAATAATAATAATAATAATAATAATAATAATAATAATAATAATAATAATAATAATAATAATAATAATAATAATAATAATAATAATAATAATAATAATAATAATAATAATAATAATAATAATAATAATAATAATAATAATAATAATAATAATAATAATAATAATAATAATAATAATAATAATAATAATAATAATAATAATAATAATAATAATAATAATAATAATAATAATAATAATAATAATAATAATAATAATAATAATAATAATAATAATAATAATAATAATAATAATAATAATAATAATAATAATAATAATAATAATAATAATAATAATAATAATAATAATAATAATAATAATAATAATAATAATAATAATAATAATAATAATAATAATAATAATAATAATAATAATAATAATAATAATAATAATAATAATAATAATAATAATAATAATAATAATAATAATAATAATAATAATAATAATAATAATAATAATAATAATAATAATAATAATAATAATAATAATAATAATAATAATAATAATAATAATAATAATAATAATAATAATAATAATAATAATAATAATAATAATAATAATAATAATAATAATAATAATAATAATAATAATAATAATAATAATAATAATAATAATAATAATAATAATAATAATAATAATAATAATAATAATAATAATAATAATAATAATAATAATAATAATAATAATTAATTCATAATAGCGATACAGAATCAGAAGAAGAAATTATTGTATTAGATAAAGAGGATAAATTAGATGAAGAAGAACAATAAAAAATTGATGAAGATGACTTTGTGAGTGGAGAAGAGATTGAAATATAAAATGATAATTAAGAAGTTAAATAAATATAAAATAATGATGATGATGATGATGACGAATTTGAAGAAGGTGAAGTAATTGAAGAATAAGAGGATAATACAAATCAAATTAAGGAGGAAAATGATTAAACTAATAATCTAAATTAGGTAAATTACTATTCAATATTTAGAGAATGTCTTCTGTTAATAAATATTAAATTGATCATTTATACAATGAATTATGTTAAGGATTTTAATGTCCTCTCTAAAAGAATTTCGATTTAGATTCAGTGTAATAATTTTTGATTTTTAATAGGCCTGCTATATAATTTAGTTCAATTGAAACTGCTTTAGATAAAAATAGTGTGAATTATCTTCTTGAAAGAGAGTAATATAAAATAATATAAAAGATTATAGCATGGATAAGTCTAGAAAGATTTCAATAGTATGACAACTCCATCTAAAATCAATATTAATGAAATAGGAGTATCATAAGAATTAAAAAATGCATTCCTTGATTAAATTAAACTCTATACATTAATATGGACCAAATATTAACCATACATTTAGTATTTATAATTATAATGATTAGAATGTCTGACTAATATAATTTTGTAATTGAATACCCAATGTTTGAATATGTAGATGTTTCTTCAGACAAGTCTCCAGTTCCAAGAGGTGGAACTTCTCAATTTTAATTAAATGATATAGGAAGACCAGGATTGTAAGAGATATTAGATTTAATTCCTGATTATTCTAAACTTTTAGAACAGACTTTCTCAAATGAAACATGAAAGTTGTTTATATATATATAAAAATATTTTAGTTTTTAATTAAAAATAAATTAATGGATTAGCATAAACTATAATTCAAAGAAGATCAAATAATGAAAGTACATTTAATTTACGATATAGTGTAGCCTTTTAAATAAGAAAGATTTAATATTAAATAATTTTAAAGAGACTTAGAAATTAATATTCTGTCAAAAACAGAAGAGAAAATAGTATTTGAGATAATAAATATTGATGCTCCAATAGCTAATTCTTTAAGAAGAATAATGATTGCTGAAGTAAATTCTTATGTAAATAAAGATCCCTACTATGGCAATTCATAAGGTTTAAGTAATCCAAAACACTAGTGTAATACCAGATGAAGTATTAGCTCATAGATTAGGGTAATTAAATAGAAAAATATTAGATTAATACCTATAATTGCAGATCCTTTATAATTTATTGAAAAAGATGATTAAGAAGAATATAATGAATTGAATTCAATAGATTTTACATTAGTTGCAAAATGTGAGAAAAAACCAAATAGCAAATAGGATGACCCTATTGAATAATAATATACAAATACAACAGTATATTCTAGCAGTTTAATTTGGTAACCAAAAGGACAATAAGCTAAATTATTTGCTGCTAATCCAATTCGTCCAGTTCATTCAAATATTATTATTGCTAAATTGAGGGAAAATTAAGAACTTAACTTAAGATTAATTTGTGAGAAAGGATTAGGTAAAAGACATGCAAAATGGTATCTAATAAAATTAATTTTTAGGTCTCCTGTATGCACTGCCTTCTATAAATTAATGCCATAAATTACTATTAAAAATTAATTAGATAATATAAGATAAGAGAAGTTGGCATCAATATGTCCAATGAAAGTATTTGGAATAAAAGGAAATTAAATAAAAGTTGTGAATCCAAGAAATTGCACTACTTGTAGAGAATGTATAAGAGAAGCCAATGGATTTGACAAAGATGTTGAATTAAATAAAATAGATAATCATTTTATTTGTAATCATCATAGATTTTAAGTTTAGTTTCTATTGAAAGTGTAGGATAATATGAAGCTAAAGATATAATGTTATAAGCTATCGATGTTTTCAGATCAAAAGTATAGTTGTATATTAAAGAATGATTTTTTATATTCATTAATATTAATTTATATTCACATAATTAATTGTGAATTTTTAGTAATATCTCTTTATATTAATATTTTAGATTCTGATATTCAAATTTTAAATTCTATATTAAGGATATATCATTAGAAATAAGAAACAGAAATTCTAATAGATTTTAATATTAATAAGTTGTTCCTCAACCATTACTTTAACATAAAAAGAAATTTTTAACCTTCACTTCCTTTCATTCTTCTTATTTTATTACAATCAAAAATGAATTTCTTGAGATGTTAAAGGATCCACTTAAAGTAATCTTGATTTTACATAAAAAAATCAATGATTTAGTAGATTATTTTTTATTTATGTTTACTTGAAAATATTTTTATAATGAAATCTTGAATATACAGAGACATTAATATCTTTTTGGGGAATTAAATAGGAATACTAAAAATATAAAACAGTACATTAATAAAAATATTGCACATTTGATATCCTTAATGAAGTATACCTAAGGTTATTCGATCCAAAAACTATTTAAAATTTATTTGTAAAATTAAGTCGGTTACAAAAAATCTTTATTCAAAATGAATTATATTAAGTCGCTTGTTTACAAAAATAATTCATACTCCAATATTAATTATAATATGTAGCTATGATAAAAATTCTTTATTCTGATAGAACACACTTACATAATTAAATAATATTTGGAGAATCCATTAATTAATTATTTGATAAGTCAAATTATATAATCAAATACTTTGATTGTGTCTTACTCTCAATTAAAATCATTTACTACTTTATAAATTCAACACATATAATCTTATTCATTAAATAATTTAAATGATCTATTAGAATAATAGTATTTTATAGTTTTGATATTTTTAACTAATATTCTTTTAGTATTAAAATTTATTGCGTTTATTGGGCTCATTTTCATTTAATATAAATTAAAAAATATAAGATTTTAATAATAATAAATTGAAATTTATGAGTTAAGACAAAAAGTTCTATTTTGATTTTACATCCCCTTTTGAAATGGAGAGACAAATTGAAATTTTTCCAAAATCACTCAAAGAGTAGTTCTTTATTCCAAAAAATGACAAGTTTAAAATGAAGATCATTGTTCTTTAGAGGAATTATCTTATCATATAAAATGAGAAAGTATCATATAAAACTAATATCTAGCACACTTTCTAAAAATATTTTAACATAACTAATGCTTTTTTAGAGATTGTTAGTCATCCTAAAATGGGACTTGGGGTATCTTTAACTAAAAATGGAGTAAATTTTAGGTTTTATGGACTTGTTTAATAATGGTTTGTTTACATGAAAAAATGGTGTATCTAGTCTTATTTTTCTAATGAATATAGCATTATTAGTTTGATTGGCAAAGGGGCTTTTGCTAAAGTACTATAACTTAAACATTTTAAGGTTTTTAAAATTCAAAGAATTAGCGATAGAAAAGAATTAGCTGTGAAAGTGTTTGATAAAACGATATTGTAATGCAAAGATAAGTTAGCTCTTTTAAAAGAAATTGAACTTTTACGACTGATGAATCATAAAAATGTTGTCAGTATTTAAGAAATTTATGAAAACGACTATTACATCTATTTAGTGCAAGAATTGTATTAAGGAGGAGAATTACATATGGAAGTTATGAAAAACAAAACATTCACAGAGAGAAAAGCATTTATAATAATTTCATAAGTTGTTGAGGCATTACATTATGTTCATTTTCATGGAATACTTCATAGAGATATTAAACCTGAAAATATAATATTGAGAGAAGAAGGAATAATTGATTAGGTTATCCTGGCTGATTTTGGATTGGCAGATTATTACAGAAAAGATTGTAAATACATGTTTACTAGATGTGGAACACCAGGTTATGTTGCTCCAGAATTATTATAAGATAAAATTTATGATCATAAAGTTGATGTATATAGTTGTGGTATACTCTTTTATTATCTTCTTGTTGGAAAGGGACCTTTTGATTCTAATAATTATGATACAACGGTGAAGGCAAATTAGAATGGTCATGTAGATTTGACTTAGTTCAGTTTTACCAATGAGTGTCTTGATCTTTTAAGAGGTATGTTGGATCCAAACCCTCAAAATAGATTCACTCTTGATCAAGTTAACCTAAGCCCTTTTTTTAAAAAACACACTTTTGCTAATAATCCAATAAATCATTCAATAAGTTTAGAAAGTCTAAAAAATAAATCGCATTCATAGACACATTCTCTATAATTATCACCATATTAAGAATAAAGATATAAATAAGAATTAAATAGCAGATTTGCCTAATATGCTTCTCCTTTGTAATCACCATTGAGACTTAAATCCCCAAATTCATCTCCACTCACAGATTCTTAACATCAAAGTCCTAATTTATAGAGAGTACCTATTTAGATTTGAGATTATTTATAAAGAATCTAGTTAATTTTTATAAATTAATAATGTACAATCTCATTTTTGATAATTAATATTAGGGTTACTAGTTACATCGAAAATAAACAATAAGCAAAGTTATATTTTATATAAGTTCCAAAAGGGTTGATTTTAATCATTTAATCATACTTATATTACAGAAAACAATCTTATTTAAGTACAATTTAATTAATTATAAGTCTATAAAACCAGAGATATACTTATTTAGAAAAAAACTATAAAGTATACTATCACATAGAAGAATTCTAAGAAGATTAAAGATAATTTAATAAAAATTTGATACTAACTAGGTTAATATATTTAATTTATAAATTTTTAATCTACACATACTAAGTCATTCTAATAAATTATACAATTTTGTATTNTTGTCAGTATTTAAGAAATTTATGAAAACGACTATTACATCTATTTAGTGCAAGAATTGTATTAAGGAGGAGAATTACATATGGAAGTTATGAAAAACAAAACATTCACAGAGAGAAAAGCATTTATAATAATTTCATAAGTTGTTGAGGCATTACATTATGTTCATTTTCATGGAATACTTCATAGAGATATTAAACCTGAAAATATAATATTGAGAGAAGAAGGAATAATTGATTAGGTTATCCTGGCTGATTTTGGATTGGCAGATTATTACAGAAAAGATTGTAAATACATGTTTACTAGATGTGGAACACCAGGTTATGTTGCTCCAGAATTATTATAAGATAAAATTTATGATCATAAAGTTGATGTATATAGTTGTGGTATACTCTTTTATTATCTTCTTGTTGGAAAGGGACCTTTTGATTCTAATAATTATGATACAACGGTGAAGGCAAATTAGAATGGTCATGTAGATTTGACTTAGTTCAGTTTTACCAATGAGTGTCTTGATCTTTTAAGAGGTATGTTGGATCCAAACCCTCAAAATAGATTCACTCTTGATCAAGTTAACCTAAGCCCTTTTTTTAAAAAACACACTTTTGCTAATAATCCAATAAATCATTCAATAAGTTTAGAAAGTCTAAAAAATAAATCGCATTCATAGACACATTCTCTATAATTATCACCATATTAAGAATAAAGATATAAATAAGAATTAAATAGCAGATTTGCCTAATATGCTTCTCCTTTGTAATCACCATTGAGACTTAAATCCCCAAATTCATCTCCACTCACAGATTCTTAACATCAAAGTCCTAATTTATAGAGAGTACCTATTTAGATTTGAGATTATTTATAAAGAATCTAGTTAATTTTTATAAATTAATAATGTACAATCTCATTTTTGATAATTAATATTAGGGTTACTAGTTACATCGAAAATAAACAATAAGCAAAGTTATATTTTATATAAGTTCCAAAAGGGTTGATTTTAATCATTTAATCATACTTATATTACAGAAAACAATCTTATTTAAGTACAATTTAATTAATTATAAGTCTATAAAACCAGAGATATACTTATTTAGAAAAAAACTATAAAGTATACTATCACATAGAAGAATTCTAAGAAGATTAAAGATAATTTAATAAAAATTTGATACTAACTAGGTTAATATATTTAATTTATAAATTTTTAATCTACACATACTAAGTCATTCTAATAAATTATACAATTTTGTATTGTGACTAAAAACTCAATATAATTATCAAATCAATCAATTATAGAAAAAGAAAATGAAAGAGCCTTGCTAATGCAAACTTTTTCTCATTTATGCCAATAAAATTCATCAATTTTTAGTTTTATTAGAATAAAAGAAATTATTAAAAAAACTACTTCACTATATATTTATTATAAATAATTTGATACTTTATTTAAAATATTATTATTCATGGGAATTTTTTATGAGCTTATTCTAAGATTTCATAATGATCAAATGCAAATGCCTCCTTACCCAATTTAAGCATATCTTCAACACTAACCCATTATGCAGTTTTAGCATCATCTGCTGCCACAGGTTCAGCATCATTTGGGACTTCAATTTTATAAACTATAGAAACATAATGTCCTCTTGGATCTCTATCTGGGGATCCTTTTACATCAATCAAATCAACACTTAGTCCTAATATCCCAGTTTCTTCATTAAGTTCCCTTAAACAACATTAAATTGGATCTTCACCATAATCTAAATGTCCTCCTGGAAAAGCGTATTTTCCTAAAAATGGTTCACGTCCTCTTGTTATTAATAAAACTTTTTTGACATCATTTTCAAGTTTTCTAAAACAAACTGCATCACATGCTAATTAAGGTCTTTATTTCATTATAATAAAAATATTTATAGAAAATCATTAATAATATAAAGTAGGTGTCTTTGCTTAATTTAATAGTGATAACGATTCATAATTGAAGCAAGAGATGTCAAGGAATAAATCATTTTATTTTTTGAACCTTTTTTTCAATATCTAAGTAAAATTATCCTTATTTTCTAGAGCAGGAGATTTTATCCTATGCCATAGATTGTTAGAGTTCTTTTTTATTTGTGTTTAATGACTACTTGAATAACCATAATGAGTTTCATTTGGAATTACTTTATTTATTTTATTTGTATCCAATTAATTTAATTTAAATTGATTTGTCTTATTTGGTTAGATCTCTTAACTATGTTATCTCATTCTGGTTGAAAGTCTTGTCATGCCTTATTTTGGAGTAGTTATTTATTTGATTGCTTTTTCAAAATTGGCAACATTACTGTAAAGAATTCTTTGTTTTTTTACTTATTCTCTTCTACTTTATAGTTAACTATAAAACTCTTAATCATTTTATGAAGAAAGTTCTCTTCTTTTTTAGCTCAAATAAAATTTTCGCCTTGTGTCTAAAAATTAATTAAATTAATACACTTCGACAAGTATCTTTGATTAATAATAATGCATGAGGGTTGTTGTTGTAAAATTCTAATTCATTATCTGAATAGTTTGCTTCCCTTTTTTAGACTTAATCTTATATAGGTGCACAATTAGTAAGTGAAAGATTATTACTATTAGTAAGTTTTCTTTAAGTAGCTCTTAATACTTTCCTAATATCATCCCATTGTGAATGTATTAATTATACTTTAACACTCATTACAAAATATAATTATAATAATGTATTTATTTATTATATATAGTTATATGATAATTAAAAAATCATTATTAACTTGAGGTATAAACAAAAAAGTCAATAATATAGAGAATCTATCTCTATAAATTTTTCAATTAAAATTAATAATCAAATCCAATTTCAAGAATTAATTAATAAAAATAACACTATGCATCAATCTTAGGGAGTTATCAAGTTAAATATTAATATTCTAATTCATTTTTAATATTAAATAATCATCAAAATACAATTAATAAAGTAAAAATTATAAATACTATGAAATAATATAAAATAGGTTGATATTGATAATATCTTGTAAATTGAAAATATTATATAATCAATAATTTTCTTTCAAATAAGTTATATATCAATAGACAAGATTTATTTGCAATTATTACAGAATTCTTAAAATTTATATAATATTTTCAGTTAATTCATATTATAACTTTAATTTATTTTTCTAATATTTTGTATAATTTTCTAATAAAGTGTTAAAATTATTTGTTAACTTCGTTATAATGCTTGAACTTCTTGTCATTTAAAAAGATAAGAAAATACGAATCGACATTTTGGAACATAATATGGAATTATTTAAGTGATTAATTTGCATTTTTATATATATATTAAATCTTTAATTTCCAATAAATAAAATAAATATTAAAAATGGCTGAGATTGAACCTTCTGCTTACTTCTTTGGATATATTGGTGTTGCATCTGCAGTTGTTTTTGCCAGTAATTCTATATTCTATCGTAGATTTGGGATCCTCATATGGTGCCACAAAATCTGGAGTCGGAATTTGTTCTATGGGTGTTTTAAAACCAGATTTAATTATGAAGTCTGTTATTCCAGTTGTCATGGCTGGTATTTTGGGAATTTATGGGATGATTGTTGGTGTTATTTTATAAGGAAAAGGTATTGATATTTTATATAATAAATAGTTTCAACAATAAAACCAGAATCAGCATCAAAATAAGGATATGCTTATTTATCTGCTGGATTATGTTGTGGATTGAGCTCTTTAGTAAGATATATTTATTTTACAGATTTTAGGCTGCAGGATTATCCATTGGAATAGTTGGTGATGCAGGAGTCAGAGCTAATGCTTAATAAGACAGAATTTTCGTAGGAATGATTTTGATTTTGATTTTTGCAGAGGCTTTGGCATTGTATGGACTTATTGTGTCCTTGATTTTATCATAAACATCATGAGTATTATTATTAAGCACAAATATAATAATAAACCCATAACGAATACAAATCTTATCATTTTTAAATTTTTCATCATTCTTCTGAGAACATTTCAACAATTTAAAAAGCAAAATTTATTTTGTATTATCATTAATCAATTAATCTTTCTTTAGACTCAATTTTCTTAAAAAAATCCATATACTTAAAACTCTTTAAAAAATGAAAACTTATCCACCAAAACATTGAAAATATAATATGTCAAAATAAACATGGAGTTTTAGCCAGAAAAAGATATTAGATTTAGCATTTCATATAGATATTCTGTCAATATCATGTACTAATCTGAAGTTTTTCATATTCAAATTCATTCAAATAGATAATCACACATCTAATCCCATTTACAATCAATCATTTTCTTTAATCATTAAATTTGAAATATTCTTATCTAATTCATACTTGCATTACCTAATCCTCTTTATACTATGAAAATTGTTTTATAGACCTATTTTGATTTACTATATTAATTCTATCCATCAATTTTATCTCCTATTCTAACTTAATGAGAAATGACTTGATTTTATAAAGAAGGACAAACTTCCTTTTTTGATATTATTATTTATACCAATTTCAAGATAATTAAAAAAAATCATAAATTTTTCAATTTAAATCTTAATATTCAATCATTTCCTTCTAGTAGAAAACCTATTCTTCATATCATTTTATCTTAAATAGTTGTAGATTTATATCAAAAAACTTTTTGCATTCATCTTAGTGAATTGTTTCAATAAATCATTTCAGTTTGCAGAAAATTTATTTTATTCTTATTAAATATTATGATTTATACAAGGTTTTAACTTAGAAAAAATATTTATTTAGATAAGTTTTATGAATTCAATCAAATTTAAGTAAATTAATAATTCATTTAAGCATTAGAATTATAGTGAATATAATATATTTAAGCTTTTAATTTATAAATTTTTAAGATTTTACTAATGTATTTTTCAGTATTAATCTAAACAAAATTTACAAAAAATATTGGTATTTTGACTTGTATATATGAGAATGTTTACATAAACAAAATACAGTATTTTAGGAAAGTATAAAATCATGAAAAACCTCAAGGTTCATATGCATTTTAATAATTTTATATGGTTAAATTATTTAAGAATTTTACTTTGTTTGACTTTATTTTTTATCAAAACTTTTAATTCATTTAATATTGGAAGAATTTACTATATAGATTGTTATTATTTATTTAATTTAATCTTATAATTTTTTATTTCGCACTATTTTAATAAAATATTTTCTTTAAGTACATCTTCTTTAATTTATTTCAATTAACTTAACAGATAATTTAAGATTTATTTTTTCCCTATTTTTGTTAATTTTATAATATTATAATGAATTCCAGAATTATCAAATAATATTTTTAAAATGAATTTTTTCAAGATTTTTTGAGTTTAAACTTATTGCTTATTGTAGAATTGATATAATTACTTAAGAGTATGAAGTTAATTGTCTTAAAACAAGCGATGCAATAATTATTTACAAATAATATATTAGCTTTTATTTTAAATGAAATTTGTGTATCATAATATTATCAAATAATTTTATAATTAACCATAGATTAGTTATAGATTAATATGTATTCTTTTCGGTTAAATTCAGCAATTTAAATCAAATTTTTATTGAATTTTCATTAATTTAATACTTTAAGCTTATCAGATAAAGTAAGATTATGTATAAAAAATAAAAATTAAATAATACAATAACCAAAATATTTATATTTGATTTTAGACTGGAAATCCAGTTCAATTTGGTATACAAGGAACTTTAATCTACTTATTTTAATGAGATTTAAAGAAAAAAATATTATTTATTCAAATTAGTGATTATACTATTTTTCTTTCTTTTTTTTTTCTTAAGTTTTTTTTATTCCAATAAAATTCATTCATAGAGTTTGAGTTTTTCTACTAAATACTCAATTACTAAAATAGGTTTATCAAACCTCTAGCTTGATGACTTTCTTGAGTTTAGTTCTTCTGGGAAAATGTCGTTTAAATTGATTTCCTCTAGGCTAACTAAAGAAGGACTTGGAAGAGGTCTTTATAAAAAATGCATAATTACCTAGTCTTTTAAGGAGAAGAAGGAGTAAAAGATGAATTTGAGCTGAAAAAGGATTGAATTGAATCCATGTGATAGGTTGTTTTTTTTTATTTAAAATAATTTTATTAATTTTCAAATTGATAAATTACAATTTAAATTTGTGATTCATTAGTTATACTCATGAATTTATAATATATGATAGGTTATAATTCTAATAGGTGATCTAAAAATTAGATGAAAATAAATGATTAAAATTATTTTTTATCTTGAAAATAAAAATATAGTAAAAGAATTTATGATAAAACTCTTAATTAATTTTAATAAGATTTATTAATAATCTGCATCCTATTAATTTAAGTAAGAAATAATAAAGAAAACTTCAATTTGATTTATAATATTGTAAGATGACAATTCTAACTTCCTTATCTCTTTAATATGTCTGGTTTAAATTCTATCATTTGGTTAATTAAAATTGAACCTATCTAATATTGTATCAAAGTATATAAAAATTATTATTCAGCTCAATCCTAAATTATAATAAGTAATTTTGAAATCAGGATGCACAAAATTAAACTTAATCGGAATAGTATATTCATTTTATTGAAAATGCTTAAGTGATCAATTTTAGCATTAATTATCTTTCTTCTGTAGAAACCCTTTTCATAAATTAAGCTAAATAAATAGATTTAGCTGAAATATAATATAAATAATGAATTTTTTGATTATAAATAAAATAATTTAGAATATTTGTATAATAATATATGATAAATTTATTATAGTAATAATAGATATAAATAATAGTATTAATTGAAAAATAAAAAAATCGATGCCTGTGAGACTCGAACTCACGCGGGAAATCCCAACGGCTTAGCAGGCCGCCGCCTTAACCACTCGGCCAAAGCATCTAATCTATTAGGATTATTAATGATAATTATTTATAGTATAAATAAAAATCAATCTTTAATTTCTTCTAATTATTGTGTTTATTANTAATTGTAGGCTTTTTTTTATTCTTTCATCGATTTCTCTAAGCTTTTTACAATAATTAAATCATGTCTATTGATGAGATTCTACCAACCAAAATTTTCGCATTCTCCAATTAAAACTTATTCTAGCCTCATCTATTTTATAGATTGTGTTGCTTCTTCAACTTAAATTTAATTGATCTCTTTATATTCAATTCCTAATTTATTCAAAGTTTATGACATGAAAATAATTATGAAATTATTATTTTAGGAACTTCAAGTAAATAATAATAATATTTATATTGTAATGCTTTTATATATCATTTCATTAATAATCAACTTTTTTTTTCTATCAAGCTTTATATTTTAAATGAATTGATATAATTACAATTTTCAATATTATCTATCAATACATATTAAATTTTATGGATTAATTTTTTCTTTACTTCTTTTATTTAAAATATATAATATTATGTACTATTCTTATACTTAAACGTTTATAAAAACTTTATTCAAGTTGGATTTTGGCAATCCTCATTTGAAGAAAATTTCAACTAATTTTTAAGTTTAATTTATTATAATCATATATTCATCGATTTTAAATAGCCTATTTTCTTAACATAACAAAAATATCGTTTTCATTGATTCAATTATTTACAAGCTTTATGAAAAAATTTAAATTTAATATAATTATTTTATAGAACATAAGTGGTAAGCTTTTTTGATGCTTTATTTGAAAATAAATTTGTTAAATTTCTTTACTCATCATTTTTTTAGTTACAATATATCTATTAGTACTTCTATTATTATGATATTTACATCTTCATCTCTTCATGTAAATCTAAGAAACTATAGAGATTTAGCTGAAATATAATATAAATAATGAATTTTTGATTATAAATAAAATAATTTAGAATATTTGTATAATAATATATGATAAATTTATTATAGTAATAATAGATATAAATAATAGTATTAATTGAAAAATAAAAAAATCGATGCCTGTGAGACTCGAACTCACGCGGGAAATCCCAACGGCTTAGCAGGCCGCCGCCTTAACCACTCGGCCAAAGCATCTAATCTATTAGGATTATTAATGATAATTATTTATAGTATAAATAAAAATCAATCTTTAATTTCTTCTAATTATTGTGTTTATTGTATTTATTAATGATTATTTAATTCTATACGACTTTCATTAACACTTTCAATTTAATTTTTGATTCTAGATAGATAATTAGAATCAGTATTTTTGATTTATAAATTTCCAATATCTAACCATGGAAAATCTTAAATAATCTTTTTTCTAGTATATTCAGTTCTACAAAATGGACAATTTTTTTATCTTAATAACCATTCTTAAAGACATATATAATGAAATATATGAAAACAAGGTGTTACAGAACAAATTCTTTATAATTTATTATTTCCTTTATTCATTTATTCTAAACATACAGCACATTCTTAAAATTATGATAATCCAGGATATATTGATATAAATTTATCATAATAATGAGCTTTAAAATGATCTTTAATAAATCTAATTTAGAAACCTTATTAATTATATTAATATTACCTTTATATATAGCTGGATCAAATACTCTATTAGTTTATTATTAATCATTATTTAAATTTCTACGTATATCTTCTTATACTTATTTTCTAATTTATTTTTATTTTCTAGTTCTTAATGCAGATATACCAATAGCAAATAATAATAAAGTTGCAATTACACAAGCAGTTATTATAATAATTATTTTATTACGTTCAAACATAGATTCATTATTATCATCATTATAAGTAACTATTTTAAATTATAAATCTATTGTTTTTGATTAATTATTATAAAGTCCTATATAGATTACGTCAGCATTATTATTTGTTTAATTGTTTATTAATTATTCTTAAATATTTGTTATAGACTTTAATTTCTAACTATTTTCTATTGTTGGAATTATCTTTTAAGGTGTTTTTTAAAATACAAAACTATAAACTACATTATTATCAAATATTTTACATACATCCTATACTTCATTTATACATTAAAATTCTATATTAGTTGTACTTAATTCATATTTTAAATATATCCATTTATAAGATTCTATTGTTAATTTATAATATATATTGCTATATATTTTAGATGATTAAAATTGGCAATAAAGTCCAAAATTTAAATCTAAACAATTACATTACATAGATAAACAAACTGAATTTTATATTTCTGGATAATTATAACCATTACAATCATTATTACAAGTGTTTATATATGGAGTTTCTGATATATATAATTCATAAGAACTTTTTTGACTATTCTAATGAGATTGTAAACATCTTATATAAATAATTGTTTAAAACTCTATTTCTACTAATTAATAAGCACTATTAGCTAAATAACTTTAATAATCATAACTAAAATATTCATTTTTGGTATCAGTTAAATCTGTAAATAAAACTTAATCTAAATTAGTTTAGGATACTAAACACACAACATTTTATGAATACAAATTAAATTTGATTATTATACTATTTGCTTTTGATGAGTAATCTAATTTTATTTAATATTCAATATTTGTCTCAAGTGTTCCTGATTAATTAGGTTTACCATTAATTATAAAGATAAACAAAGTCATAAATAAAATCATTTAAATTATATTTATTAACTTTAGTAGCTTTAATCACTCTTCTATTATGATAAGTTGCTAAAATATACTACAAATAATAGAAAAATTAATTGATTTAATGATTTAATATATATTCATTTAGATTTATATTACATATTTTTAAATGTATCCTCAAGAATAGTATTTAATTCATGTACTCCTAAATCTTAAAAATAATATCTTAAATTTACCATGAAAATATTCATTATAACTTTGAAAATATGATTTCTCATTAAATATAGTTGAGTCTCTCAAAGGTTTTTAATATCTGAGTACTACAAATATTACTAATTTTCTTAAATCTTTAGAGAAATAGCTTAAAATATGAAAATTTCACATAAATTTTCTATTATTAAAAAATATTGATAGCAAATCTATTTTATGAATTTTATTTTATTTTTTTATAAAATAACATAATAAGTTAAATTTGAAATATTAGTAAAAGTTAAATTGTAAATGTTATTGAGGAAACATTTACATTTTTATATCAAAAAATAAAATTAGTAATTAAAAATTATTATATTAATTATACATTTTATAAATGTTATTTAACTTTATTAAGTAAATATCGTTTGGATTAAGCCATTAATAAATAAATAATTTAATTTATCATATATAATTTATAAACTCCTTTAATAGTTACCTATATGGGAAACAAATGTACTTAAACTACAATAGATATTTGATAGATAGAATCTATAATAAATGAAGAATAACAAAGGAATGAAAATTAGCCCTACTCTTGGGAGAATTTCAAAATAAATTCCTCAAAAGTTTGGTTTTTCAATTTGCAAAATAACAATTCATATGTTTGAAAAAATAAATATTTAAATGGCAAATGGATATGGGATGTATGTTAAGGGACTTAGGAATGGATATATTGTACTAATTATACAGGTGATTATTTAAATGGTAAGCAAAATGTATAAAAATATTATTAGTGGAAAGATTTTTCAACTTAGATTTGGTATATATGATAGAAGAAGATGTAAAAGAGAGTGGAGAATTAATAATATGAATGGTAAAGTAATCTAAAATTGAAAGAATGATTAAAATAACAAGGATAATATTAATATGATAAAAGCATATTTAATTAATAAATATAATATTAGTTTAAGAGAGTTTATGGAAGGTAAATAGCTAAGGAAAATATATAAAATCTAAATGGAGCAGTAAAGTCAGGAATTCGCAAAATAATGCAATTAAATATCTTTGTTGGATGATGAATAAATTAAGTAGCTTTTGTAAATAAGAAAAATTGTTATGATAATTAAATTTACCATAATATTTCTCAATTTTCTCAGTTTGCTGTTGTTTAATAAAAACTTTACATTTTACAAAATATTCTAATCTTTCCTCTTTATGTTTTCAAACTATAATTTGAAAAATAATGCTAAGTATTAGTTTCTAATTGATGAAAATTTGTAAAAAAAAAAAAGATTTAAGTAAGTCTCCTATAATTAATATATATTTTGATAGGTTTAGATATTAAATGATATAATGTAAATAATGATTAATATAATAAACTCATATTTATTATTAGAAATTTTATTGAAATTAAGGACAGTAATTATACATGAAAGGTTGCTAATTATAAATTAACTAAGAATTCAAGATATTACATTCGGTTTATTTAATTTAATTGAAGTAACAATATTACTGATACATCTAATAAATGAAATTAGTGTAATACATTTATTATTGGCTTTAATACAATTATTAATTTATTGAATTATATTGATATACACCTCTATTTTCATATTCTTCTTTTATTTTAACAGATTGAGATAATTACTCTATTTTTTATTTTTTCTCTTGGGTTGTGACAGCTACTTTCTAATCTAAGATGTTTTGCAAAGTTTTAATTTCTAGATATTATTTAACATTGTCTTTAGTATTATCTTATTTTATTACTAGCTGAGATAATGAATTTAAGTTTTCTGACAGTTGATTATTTTTTTATAACAATTTAAGTTGAAATTTTTATCGTTTTTTTAATATCAAAGAAATAGAAGTAATTAAAATTTAGCATTCCTTTTTGTAATTGAGCTTATTTACAAGATTAGAAAACATTTCTAAGTATTAATTGATTTGTTATTGCACAGATTTTGCTTTATTTAAACTAATTATTAGTTATTTTGATTTTTTATTCAATTTTATGTATTTAGGGTTCTTATCATTTTTCATTTCTATTAAACATTATTATAAAGTTTCTATTAATTCAAATGGCTTATTTGAAGAGTAAATTTAAGTTATATTAAGTTTAGTATCTGAATAATAGTTTATATTCTACAATTATATCTATGTTTTTTCCATAATAGCTAAATATAATTCTTACAATTCATCTAACTGAAGTAAAAGTTTTTTTATTTCTGAAAATGATAACTTATTTTTAAGCAATATACCGTTTTTCATATTTTAATTTGCAATTATTTTTAATTATCCAAATTTTATAATCCTATAATTTCTGTAAAATTGTTTTATGCTTAGGAGGTTAAGATGAATTTTTATATTTCAAAATTATGATTTAAAAAGAAATAATAAAATTGTTTATAGTTTTTAAAACATCAAAATATCATATAGATAGAACAAAAAGAAACTATTAAATTAAAATTTTTTATAATATTATTAATAAATAAATTAGCAAATTCATGAATAAGAAGATGATTTATATAAAAATAGAATGATACCAGATAAATAATATAAGGAATATTCTGTTCCATATACTTATTTTATTTCGCAAATAATTGATAATTTAATTCTAGAATTTATGATTTAATTATTATAGATAGTAAACTATTTAATAAATACAATTTTTGCCAATAATAGTCAATTATCAAAATAATTTCTATAATTTATACAAACATGATTGAATAAGATGAGAAAGTAAATTTTTATTTAAAGTATATTTAGAAATGTAAATCTTTATATATGGTTAATTTATTAATTTGAGAAGTAAATAATGCTAAATAAAAAATAAAAATAAATCATTTAAGCTCTATATTTGGAAATTTAGATAAATATAGAATAATGATATAAATTTTTAGAGAGATTTTAGAATAATGATTACATAAATAATTGATTAGTTGAATAAAGTGATATTGAATATTTTGAATTATAATTATTAATTTTATTATATCGTTAATGCTAAGTCAAAAAAATGTATTAGCTGGGGAGGAAGATTTTAATTTAAACAAATTTCGAGATTCTTTGTATCTTAGAATGTAAAGTCCAAGCTAATCAAAATAAAGTAATGTAATTAAAGAGGATAATTCAATTAAGAAATCAGCCAAAAATTCATTAAATGCAGATATTCAACGTCGAAAAAGGTGGTTTAAATAAATATTCATAGTGTACCATCATTTGATGAGTTATTAAAAACAATGAATACTAGTAATGGATTTGGTTATTAACAACATGTGTCTAATCATAAAAGAAATATCACTGATTCATCTCGAAAGATGAGTGGTATTTATAATAAGATAGAATGTTTGGGAAATAATGAAGTTAATTAAATAACAAAATTATCATAACCGTAAATATATATTTAACATATTTAGATTTATTTCCAATGCACCTTTATCAATATCAAATAATTAATAACACAAAAGGACAACTTTCTCGAGTAGCATCACAGAAAAACCAGTATTTTCAAAAGGAAATGGAAAATCACTCATAGATAAATTATCTTTAAAAGAATTGATGGAAATTCGTAGTAAAATAGATAATAGTACATAATCTGAAGTGCAAGAATTATCTGCAAATTATGTTTAAGAATTATTAAAATTATCCTAAATTATAATAAAGCAAGTTAGACATATAAAAAATTGAAAAATTTCTATATATATATAATATAATAGATTAATATTTATATTAAGGAATTTATATAGATAAAAGTAGGTGAATAATTTACAAAAAATATTATTTTGCAAAATAGATTCAAAAGAACAACATACCTATCATAAAATTCTTATGCACAGATATATATATATTTAAGAATTATAGAATTGGAAATATAGTTCCTATCATTAGCTATATAGATTTAATTTAGATACTTTTTGAAATCTTAGATTTTTATACGATTGACAATTATAATCTACTACTTAACTTGAAAGTGGTTGAAAAAGAGTAATTGAATTATGTATAAGAAATTATTCAATAAAATTTATGATATGAGATTACTATTAATTATATAGATTATTAAATAATAAAAATAAATTAATGTTCAAGAACAACTTCTACTCTTATGTAGGTGGTACTAGATCAGATATAGCCATGAGCATTGAATCTTATTTTGAAGTTATGGAAGTCTTATTGGATTAATATATGAGTAGAGAAGTATAGAATATGATATTATCAACAACAAGATGCTTTTCAATTTCAAGAATTGCAGTTAAGTACTCAATGATATTGTGGTCTCTGCACCATTAGCCTNCTGGGGAGGAAGATTTTAATTTAAACAAATTTCGAGATTCTTTGTATCTTAGAATGTAAAGTCCAAGCTAATCAAAATAAAGTAATGTAATTAAAGAGGATAATTCAATTAAGAAATCAGCCAAAAATTCATTAAATGCAGATATTCAACGTCGAAAAAGGTGGTTTAAATAAATATTCATAGTGTACCATCATTTGATGAGTTATTAAAAACAATGAATACTAGTAATGGATTTGGTTATTAACAACATGTGTCTAATCATAAAAGAAATATCACTGATTCATCTCGAAAGATGAGTGGTATTTATAATAAGATAGAATGTTTGGGAAATAATGAAGTTAATTAAATAACAAAATTATCATAACCGTAAATATATATTTAACATATTTAGATTTATTTCCAATGCACCTTTATCAATATCAAATAATTAATAACACAAAAGGACAACTTTCTCGAGTAGCATCACAGAAAAACCAGTATTTTCAAAAGGAAATGGAAAATCACTCATAGATAAATTATCTTTAAAAGAATTGATGGAAATTCGTAGTAAAATAGATAATAGTACATAATCTGAAGTGCAAGAATTATCTGCAAATTATGTTTAAGAATTATTAAAATTATCCTAAATTATAATAAAGCAAGTTAGACATATAAAAAATTGAAAAATTTCTATATATATATAATATAATAGATTAATATTTATATTAAGGAATTTATATAGATAAAAGTAGGTGAATAATTTACAAAAAATATTATTTTGCAAAATAGATTCAAAAGAACAACATACCTATCATAAAATTCTTATGCACAGATATATATATATTTAAGAATTATAGAATTGGAAATATAGTTCCTATCATTAGCTATATAGATTTAATTTAGATACTTTTTGAAATCTTAGATTTTTATACGATTGACAATTATAATCTACTACTTAACTTGAAAGTGGTTGAAAAAGAGTAATTGAATTATGTATAAGAAATTATTCAATAAAATTTATGATATGAGATTACTATTAATTATATAGATTATTAAATAATAAAAATAAATTAATGTTCAAGAACAACTTCTACTCTTATGTAGGTGGTACTAGATCAGATATAGCCATGAGCATTGAATCTTATTTTGAAGTTATGGAAGTCTTATTGGATTAATATATGAGTAGAGAAGTATAGAATATGATATTATCAACAACAAGATGCTTTTCAATTTCAAGAATTGCAGTTAAGTACTCAATGATATTGTGGTCTCTGCACCATTAGCCTTTTTGCCTTTCTCGCTTCTTGGAACACAATGGCTATTTGCAGGTGCTAATAGAAAAGGAGCTAATAAAGCCTATGGACCTATACTTGCATCTGTACATATGTTAGTATTATGGAGAGCTTACACTGCTCCTATTCCAAATAAATTGTTCACTAAAATAGTTGCAGATCCAACAGTCGATGGATAATATATTAGGTATTAAATTATTATTAATTTAGAACCTAATTATCTGTTATGAAACCAGGTTTATGGTAAGTTTTGAGTAGGGAATTATATCATAAAGGATATAGATTTCCAGAAATGTTAGAGTTCAAGACCGCTACAGAATTTCCAACTGGATTTGTCAAACCTTATTGATGGTACATAATAATAATATATATATATACAATATTTAAAACAATTTTTTATTAAATTTTTAATATAAAAGTATATGGAGACAGATTAACTATTGGTGACTAATTTTTTTATAGAATAATAAATAAAAATATTAAAACCCTAACCTTTAGCTGTTAAATAAAGTATTGAAATTTTATAGAATTACTATAAATTATAAGCAGTAATAATTTGAATATATTATCACTTTAATTAGAAAGAATAAGTTAAAATCATCGAAACATCTTTACTCAGCATTTATTCATTTTTTCAAGAAGACAATTTTGAAAGTTATTAAGAATTCAACACTAAGATAAATAATTTACTTGAAGATATTACTAAAATTGATGATAATACAATAAAAAAAGGTTAATATAGAAGATCAATTGGTAGAAAGTCATTATAAAAGTATTCCATTATGATTTTATACATAAAAATAGATCATTTAAAATTTTATCCTTAAAACTTCGAATAACTTTGGACATTATCAGTAAAAAGTGGATAAATAAATAAAATAAAAAAAATTAATTAAGATGGTCTAACATATGCATTCGAAACATACAAAAGTATATTGATATATTTTACAATAAAGTTCTTTGAATTTAGATTTATAATTGGTTTCTAAAAAGTTTTATAAAATGTTTATATGTAGAATTTGTGAAAAACCAGTCTAAGCTACATAAATGGCATAACATTGTATAATGTGCGAATAGCAAGCAGAAAGCAAAAAAAGATTATTAGAATTAAATTTGGAATTAGCAAATATTTGTGATTAAGCTTATTAAGAAAAGAGGAATGTACAAGTAAAGTTAGCAATTAAAAAGTACTATTATTATAATTATATTATAAGATTGAGGAATAAAACAAGAAAAAGATAATATCATAATACTATATCTATTTATAGAAGAGTCTAGACTTTAGATGATTAAGATGAAGATGAAGATAATTAAAATGAATATCAATAAGAACTGAACAACATAGTCAATATTATGACATAAATTATTAACTTTGCTGAAAAAACATTAAATAATGCTGCTGAAGTTGAAGATACTAAATGTAATAACTTTTCATGAGCTTTATTAATAGAAACTTTAGTACTGTTAAATGACATTGTTAATGCAATTTAATATATTGAAAGCCAAGAAACTTTGTAGATTATGAATGCAACTCATAAATGTTTATTAGATAGACTTGATTATTAAAAAAAAAAAGAGAATATTATCAATAATTCAATTTAAGGATCTCCTAATCAAAATTAAGATAATATTAATAAGATTAAAAGAGCATTTACTAAATCTAATTCAATATCTTTTAGAATACCAAAATTTTAGAATTCTCCTTCTCCTTCTTAAAGAATATCTACAGATCCTATTTAAGAAGAAGATGATTCACCATCATCACCATAAATTTAATCACCTTAAAAACTTACATCTTAAAGAAAAACATTTAAAATGAATTCTTCCATTTTTAAATTAAGTGATGGATCTGAATCACCAAAATCAATTAAGTAATCATCTATATTAACTTAAATGAAAACAAGTTATTTTTGTTAAACGGAAAATAATTTATAAATTAATTCTTCAATTAATGATCTTAAATTAGAATAAGTGAAAAAATAATCAAATAATGATATCACTTAATCAAAAGAAAAAATTTAAAATTCTTTATAAAAACTATCATAATTTAAAGCATCTATCCAACCACTTTTAATGAAAAATTTAAAAGAACAAAATTTAGAAGAAATTAAAGAAGAAAAATCAAAATATCCAAAAACATTTGAAATTCAAAAATAATCTATAAAAGATAGTGAAAACTCATCAAATATATCTAGTATGGAATCTCCCAGTTCTAATACAAATAATAATGAAATAAATAATTTAGCATCTACTAAAAAATAAAGAAAAAAGAAAAAATTAAGCTTCTAATCTTAAGAAATTGAAAAAATGCAATTAGTTTCTAAAAATTAACAAAGAAAAAGCAAATTCTTTGAAAATCAAATATGTAAATCTCCTATGGTTGTTTAAGAAAATACAATGGATGAAATTTTGGTAGATAAAGGTTATCATTCTGATTCCAACTTAGTTAAAACTGTTTCTCCTTAATTAAATGAAACTTTAAAAGTAGGAATAAAAGATTTTGAATTCATTAAATTATTAGGAAAAGGAGCTTATGGATGGGTGTTTTTAGTAAAGAAGAAAGGATCAGGTGATCTTTATGCTTTGAAAATAATTGACTGTGCTTAAAGAGTAATTTTTAATATTATTATAGAATTTAGAAGCATTTTTAGAATAATTAAAAGCTGAAAGAAACATTTTCGAAATTTTAAATAGTAATTTTGTTGTTAAAGCTTACTTTTCGTTTGTTCATGAACAATACCTTTGTTTTGTATAAGAATATATGATGGGAGGAGATTTAGCCAGTATTTTAAAACAATATACGGTAGATTCTATAATTAATTCAAATAGGCACTTGATGAATTTTATGTTTAACATTATATGGCTGAAATCGTATTGGCATTAGAATATTTAAGATAATAACATATAGTACATAGAGATTTAAAACCAGAAAATATATTATTAGATTGCTAAGGACATTCTAAACTTGCTGATTTTGGTTTATCAGAATAAGGAATGAATAGTAGATTAAAATTAAAAGAAAAATTAAATTCATAAAATTCTATTGAAATACCTACTTGTGTCGAACAAATTAGTGATCAATAAGGTTATTAGCCTATTTATAAATAACTTAAAAAAGTAGAATCAATTTTAGTTGAGAAATAAGGAAGTAAGACAAAAAAGTATTTAATTAAATTCAATATAAAAGGATTGTTGGAACTCCAGATTATATTGCCCCTGAAATTATATTAGGAACTTCAGTAAGCAATTTTAGTTCAGATTATTGGAGTTTGGGTATAATAATGTATGAATTACTTTGTGGTATTACACCTTTTAATGATGATACTGTTGATAAAATATTTGATAATATTTTGAATATGAGAATTGAATGGCCTTAAATTGGAGATGGAGAAGATTGTATTTCAGAATAAGCATATGATCTAATAATAAAATTATTGGAACCTGACTTTAATAAGAGAATAGGGCATAAATCTATTGAAGAAATAAAAAGTCATAAATTTTTTAAAGGTATTACTATATTATAATTATTAGGTATTTAATGGAACAAATTATTGAGTAAACCAGGATTGATTATTCCGGAGTTGAAATGTGAATCAAAAGATAATGAAAAGATGTAATAGTTTTTAAAAAAGTTGGAGAAAACTAATAAGGATTAAGAAAATTAAAAATTAGCTTAATAATTGAAAGCCTAACTTTAAAATTTAGAAAGAATTGATTTATTAAAATAAAGAAGCACATAAGAATCAGATAAATATTTGTATAACTATTTATTAATTAGATTGTAAGTGTAAAATGAATAGAAAAAAATTTAACATTAAATTGAGTTACTTACACAACTTTATGCCAAACTTTACTAATGCTACTCAAAAATGTAGTGAGAAGAATTTTTGTTCGAATATATTATTATTTATTTATTTAAAAAAGAAATTAAATGTTTTTATTTTATTATTATATTAAAATTAAAGATATATATATAATTATTATAAATATCTATGTATACAAAAGATGGTAATTAATTGTTTTATGAACAAAAATATGAATAGGAAGTTCTTTCAACTTAGATAGATGACTAGAAATCTCGATGATACTTTTAAAGAAGATTTAGAACTCTATAATAAATTATTGTAAAAGAAATATCAACCTAATCCTTAAAGATTAAATAATGATAAATAAATGCTATAATAATGGGATTCATTTAAATAATTTAGATTATCTAATATAATAGATACAACTTTGGATTCGGACATATTTAAAATATGTATTTGTGATTTCTTAAAAAAAAAAAGAGTTAGTATGGAATTTTGGATTAAAGTTGCATATGATGTTTTTCATGATGAATCTAAAGGGAAATAAGTAAGAATGAAGTTTTGGAGATCAATGAGAAAAAAATCAAGTAATTTAGAATTGGATTTAAAAAATAAGAGATGGCCTGTGGCATGGAGATATTTAGAAAGAGAACCATGTTTGAATCTAGAAATACTAAAATTATATGAATAATATATGCCAATACGACCATTTTTTGCTTAAACTCTAAATACAATGACAAATATTACATGCGATTTAAGGAGAATGCCAATGCTAAAAGAAGAAAAATCAATTGAATTTGATCTATCAAAAACTACTTGGTTTCCTAAGATAGATATGTGTGGTCCATCTATTTTAGAATAATTATCTAGTTCAGATAACTATTTTTGTGAATAATTAGTTAAATATACAACAGAAATGAAAGCAATAATGTTCCCAATATTAGATTTTTTTAGATTAGATAAAAAAAAAGGAAGAATTATTAATTTATTTGGTGAATAACATGATTTTGTATTAGAAGTAATTTATTCATTAAAAGCTTTTTGTGGATAAGCTATTAATTATACTTAAGGATCATTAAAAAAGAAAAAGAATTATAAATGTACAAATTCATATAAAATTAATGAAATGCAATGCAGTATAATGTTAACTACTTTATCAGAAAATGATTTAAATTAAGATGTAATGAATGACATTTAAAATAATATAGAAGGAGGTTATTCTGCATTTATTTAAGAGAATTAAATGTATTATCACAGTGAAAAGAATCAAAGATTAGTTCTGATATTTAGCTAAAAAAAATTATAATTTGGAAGAATCAAAAAAGGAATTAAATTTTACTAAATTCCTGACTAATAAATTTCTACATTAAAAAATAAAGTAGATTATGAATTTCTTATTTATTATGCAAACATTTTGTTTAACAAATGTATGATAGTATAACAGAATTGCAGTTCAAGGAAACCTTTCTATTAAGTTATGATTTGTATGTGGACATATGTATTAGCAGTTTATCTTTCAGGGGAAATACCAAATTTAGAAGGAATTAATGTTTTTCAAGATAATGAAAGGGCAGATTCTTTAGTAGACATTTAAATTGATTTAGGATTAAGTTCTCATGAATAAACTTATGAAGAACCAGAATTTGATTAAGATTAATTTTAAAAAACAAGCTTTGAATTTACCAACCATGTTGGAGGTGTCAGTTTAGATCCAAGCGAAGAAGAAGATTGTATGATTGTAGATTAAATATAGAAGAAAAAGAAAATAATCCTAGTATGATTTAATTAATATATATCAAAAATTAAAAGGATAATTATAATCTTTCCCATGGTATCAAAATATTGTAAAGAAACTAGACTAATAATTTAAATATAATGTAATCAGATTATTCTATTAGGAACTTAACTTTGAATCTTGATATATTTTTTGAAGATGATTGATTATAAGAGTTTTTAAAAAAAGTAAAAAACTTAAATTAATTAAAAATTAATTAAATATGAAAAACATACTACTAAAAGATTGGAATGAATATAAATTCTAATGATTAATTTAGATTGATAATGATTCATTAAAAAAGGAAAGCATAAAATATCTAATGTGAATTAAAAAAAGCAGATAAACTACTATGGAATTTTTAATTAAATTTGCTTTCGACTTAATGTCTAATTATAAAATAGGTAAGTTAACAAGAGAAAGAGTTACTAAAATGCTTTTAACATAAACAAGATTATTAGATTGCAGATTTTACCAATAAGAAATGGCCTTAATGTTGGAACAAGCATTAGAAATTATAAAGCTTCATTATCTTTAAGAATTTCTTAGTAAATAATATAAAATAGAGAACAATTATACTAATTAATATTAATAGAATGCCTTTTCTCTCAGAAAATTATATTAAAAAATTAATAGTAAGAGAAGATATTTTTTGCCAAGTTTAAAATTATGTGGACTTTATTTACTTGAATAAATTTCTAGTTCTTGGAATTAATTTTATAATAAGATATCTTGATTTATTAATAATATCTCTCCTTTTATTTTACTTGATCTAATGAATTGTTGTAAAAATGAAGGTAAAACTCGTTTATAAATTGATTCTTTAATTAAAAATCATTAGAGTTTGAAAATTTGAAAACACAAAATAATCAATTACATCTAATAAAAATTTAAATAAATTTAATAATATAAATCAAAAATTGTAAAAAATAAAATAATAATTACAATGCTTGAATAGAAAGACATAAAATATCATCTCTTAATACATATTAAAGAGAATTATTAAAAGGGATATATTGTTCATGTTTTAGAAAGACAAGAATGTGATAAAGCTATAAAAGACTAATAATAATATGGAGTTCTTAAAAACTAAGTTTTGGTTTTTTAAATCCTAAAATCAACTTATATAAATTACTAGATGAATAGATATTAGAAATATTAAATCAAGTTGATATCACTTTTTTAATTTACTTGATAAATATGCTTGTCAATTATCATGAGTTAGAAATCGCGCTTATGGAATAAGATAAAATATTCATAAATAATGATTTTTATTTGGTCATTTGTACTAGCTTGATATTATCTTAAAAATCATAATATTTTGATCACAAATAATCAAAATAACTATCAAATTGAAGTATCCCAAAATTCTTAATTAACAGATGATGATCTAGAAAATAATTTTCAGATCAGTCTAGCAATAATGATAGTGAGATTATTCTTCCATTAAAGTTATAAAAGCCTATCAATTTATCAAATTAAAATAAATGAATGATAGTATTTATATTATTTATTTTATATAAATAATGACTATAATTTATTTAAATTGAAAATTAGAGTAGTTAATGTATTTTGATTTAATTGGAATTGAATCAAATGAAAAGCATATTTTATGGAGAAGTTAAAGTTATAATTGAGTATTTAAAAGTAACCAATATAAATTAAAGAATAATAGTTTATTTTATTTATATATTTAATACTAGGATGTTCTTTAATTCTGAAATAACAAATGAAGTGAAAGACCAATAAATTTAGAATTCATAATCTAGTTCGAAGATACAACAAAAGGGAAGGTCAAATAATATGAATCGATTTTAAGTTAAAAAGAAAGATGAACCTAAATAAGATAATTAATCTCTGAGTAGAATTTAATAAGTAAATTATAATTATATGGCTTAAGAGAGAAATAGAAATTTAAAGGAAATAAGCTGAATCTTAGAATCGAGATGATAATGATATGGTTGAGAGTCTTGTACAATTTGATTCAGAAAATGAATAAAATGGATCAAATTAGATTATTAACCCTTTAATTCTTAACCAATAGGAATTTGAAGAGTAAAATGTAAATATATATCTTATTTTAAGAAATAATAACATGTAATTTAATCAAAACCAAAGACCTTTAATTAAATCAGTACATTATAAAATAATGTATAATATAAAAAGAAACTTGGTGAAAATGAGTCTTCTTATGATTAAGAGTTTGATTTTAATTGGAATTAAGTAAGATAATTATAAACTGTTTTAGTTAACCATAATTGGAAACAATCATAATTAGTATTTTGAACCAGGATAATAATTAGTTTAAAATAATGATCTTCCTCAACTTTCTAAATAAAACAATAAGAATAATTTTGATTATATAAAAAAAAATTAGGAAAATGAAAATTAGTAAAGTAAGGATGAAGATTAAAATTTAAAAGGTTTATCAGAATATTAAGAATTAGATTATTAAATTGACAGATATAATGACATTCTTTCAAGAGATAGTTGTCAATCTGATAATTGTATATAAAATACTGATGAAAATAAAGATGATTCAAATCATATTATTTCTTAAAATATATAAAATGAAGAAGAGAAATAGGAAAATAAAGTTATTGAAGAAAATACTTCTAAATAAATAGTTGAAGAATAATTACCTTAATAATAAGTGGAGTAGTAATAATAATAAGAATAAATAATTTAACAAAATTAAACATGCCCATATCCAAAACCAATAGCTTCAATATCAATGCCATATGGTAAAAAACATTTTTTGTTGAATCCAGCATAGAAAGGTGGTATGATTTAATGTACAATAAAAAGAGATAGAAGTGGAATGTGTAGATTTTATCCAAAATATCATATGCATTTTTCTAATGGATTTTTGTATTTAATGAGTGCAAAAAAGAGGGCATGTAATAATACAAGCAATTATATTATTTCATAATCGAGAGATGATATGGAAAAAAGTGATAATTTCTTAGGTAAAGTAAGAAGCAATTTTATGGGAACTGAGTTTATTCTGTATGATTCAGGGTTAAATCCTGAAAAAACAAAAGATCCATAAAAGTTTAGACAATAATTAGGTGTAGTTCAATATGAAAGTAATTTACTTGGGGCAAAAGGACCTAGGAAAATGGTGGTAATCATTTGAATTAATGAAGGTCTTATTACCAAATTTAAATGATCGTGATTAACTGTATGAATTCAAACCTTCTAATTCAAAGGATGGGATGATAAAGGAATATATAAACAACAACAGAGACTAAATTGTTACTTATGTTAATAGACCTCCTTAATGGAATAGCAGGCATAAAGCATTTGTCTTAAATTTTTATTAAAGAGTTGATAAACCTAGCGTTAAAAACTTTCAACTCATTGTAGATAAAAAGGAGGATAATATATTACTATAATTTGGTAGGGTTGGTGAAGATCTTTTCAATTTAGATTTCCAATATCCTATCACTCCACTATAGGCATTTTAAATTGCATTAACTAGTTTTGATTACAAAATTGCATGTGAATGAAATGTTTTGTCATTTAAACAAACCAATTATATATATTTATATTATACAAAGATAAATGTAAAATAAACCATTAGACTGGATCTGTATTGGATGCAAAAACTTAAATTACTCATTTCGTAAATACTGTAATCGATGTCAAACTTTCACCAGAGATGCCCCAGGCACTAAATTTATTTCACTAGAACAACCAAATATAATCGATTCATTGAAACTCTCAGAACCTGATCTAAAAGGTAGTGGACATAGTACAACAGATAGTGTAGGGAGTAAAGCTCAGGATCAAACTGTCTTTCATTAAGCTCTTTTCTTAGAAAATTTAACATAAAGTAAATAAGAAACGGTTAAGAAGAATTTCAATTTTATGAAGATATGTACGATCTGCAGAACAGAAAATTATTTTTATCAATAAAAATGTAAGTAATGTGGATTTAGAATTTCAATATGATCAAAGAATAACTATGTTTTGATTTTAATTATTATTCATAACTCATTCTTATACTATTAAAATAAACAAAATAGATGTATTAAACTTCTATCAATTTCATTATTGATCCATTATAAAATTTGATTTTCAAACTTGTATAAAGGGTTTAAATTATATTACAATATTAAAAATCTATATATCAATTTCTATTAATTTATGTAATAGTTCTTAGTGATTTATAAAGCAAAAATATGTTTTATTTTGATTAACACATAATTAACAAAAGAAACTTACAAAATAATGACTTAAAAAACGTTTAATTTATAATAAATATTATCTAAAACATTCAAATTCTGATAAAAACTATATTTACCAATATATTATAGTATTTGAGTCTGGAAATTGATGTGTTGTAATTATTTATATCATTATTTAAGAATTTAATTATTATCTTTTTTATAATAGAGTTAGTAATTCAATTTATAATTCCAACATTTATAATCAATTTAATTGTAAAGAGATTTCTTACTATTATTAGAATTTATTAATATAATTAATAGTTTAAGTAATTTAATTAAATTAATGAAGAAAAATTTAGTGATTGAACCTGATTAATCAAATTCAATTCAATAGACTATATTTCGTAATGGTGTTTCTGTTCTACCTTTGCTAGTTAAGAAGAATAGCATTGGTTTGGCATTAGAGAACATCCCAAGAACATAAACTTTTTCAAGATAAATGCAGCAATCATGCCATAATGATAGTGTATAATAATCTCGAACACCAACAATGAAAAATGATTCATTTTATGGTAATATTTTTAAGAAACCAACTGTTATATAAAAACCAACTTTTAATTTAACAAAGCCCAATAGTGATTTTAATTGGCCACTTTTCAAAATAAAGAATGATCCATTAATAAAATAATTTTGGGATAGAAGAACAAATAAAGATTTGGAAAAGAATTGGGTATTTGAAGACTATATTTTTGCAAGTAATATGCTAAGAATAGGAAAAAAGAAAAAGATAGTCAAGGGTTATTTTTATAGATTGACAAGTTCTGGCTTATTAATGTACTATAAAAAAGTATATAATTGCTTTATTTAAAAGGAGTCAGACACATTACCAAAAGGCTTTCTATAATTGGATATGTAGATTAGAATAGTTGTAAGTTTTCAAAAGACAAAAAGAAATTTATAGTTACCTGTTTTATATTTAGAAAAAAATCAAGGTATAGGAATAGCTATTTTTGATCATCTTATCGATTAAACTTTAAAATTAGGAGAGTGTATTCAATAATTTTGTTTAATGAGAGGATTTAATGTTTTATACGAATAATTAGAATTACTTGGCAGTGGTGCTTTTGCATCAGTTTTTAAGGTAAGTAGGAAAAGAGATGAAAAGTATTTTGCTGCAAAAACATATTTCAAATAATTTTATGATGATCATCCACATAAAGATAGATTGCTTGTAAAAATATTTATTTAAATATAGGTTAGTCAATGGTTTACAATGAAATTACAACTCTTAAAAATGTTGATCATTAAAATATAATGAAACTTTATGAAGTAATATAAGAAAAAGATAAATTGATATTAATAATGGAATATTGTGCTGGAGGAACTTTATATTCTTATGTGAAATAAAAAGTTAAATTTAATGATAAACACTATGCTTATATATTAAAGTAATTATGTGATGCTCTATATGAGATGCATAGATTAAATTTTGTACATAGAGATTTAAAATTAGAAAATATTATGTTAGAATCAAAAGACTATTTATAATTAAAATTAGTTGATTTTGGTTTCTCTGAAATTATTAATGAAAAATAATTAGTTAGTTAGGCAGGAACCCCTGGTTTTCTTCCTCCAGAAATATTTAGATAAATACCTTATACTGCTAAAAGTGATATCTTTAGTTTGGGCGTTATTATGTATTTGGTATGCATTAATGTTTATTAAGATTGTTGCTGGATATATGCCATTTAAAGCACCTACTGCCACATAAATCTTAGAGTTAAATAGAAAATGTTAAGTTAGTTTTGATAAATCTCCTTGGTAGGATGTTAATCCAGATTTAAAATACTTAATTAAAAAGATGCTTGAATTTAAAATTGAAGATAGAATAAGTTGCTAAGAAATTTTAGAGAGCCCTTATATTTTATATCATTCACGTCAGACTTCAGAAACTAATTATAAGTCTAACTAAATCTTAAGTGGACTAGAATTAGATAAATGTAACAGGCAATCAATGAAAAGTATTAAATAAAGTGAATAATCTAATGATAGAAGCAAAGAATTTTAATTAGATTTTTCAATTCATACAAATGATATTAAATCTCTCTATTAAAGGAATTCTTAAAAAACTAATAAATCTAATCGATCGATAAATTCCTTAGCTAAAAATTCATCACAAAAAAAAATATCACGATCAGTACCTAAAGAATGTTAGCTTTCAAAATTTTAAAGTACAAAAAAAATGGAAGATTAGGAATCGCATAAAAGTTAAAGCAAAAAATAGAGTTCTTTTGGAGATGTTTTGATATGTAAATGATATGATTATGATTTTACTAGAATAAGATCAAAAGATTATAACATTTGAAGACACAGACTCTTTAAATTTGGAATAGATTCTATATTTAAAAAGATCTGGTGTGGTATTTAATAAAGTGAAAAAACCACTCATTTAAACTTCCAACCAAGACAACTGAACTATTAATTTTGATAAATTTTGTTTTTTAATTCTAATAAAGAAAGTTTATAAAAAATAAAATGTTGATTAACCTTTTATTCCTTTGATGTGTAATTCTTTTTATTCTTTTATTTTTATTAATCTTTTGATAGGATAATTTTTTAAGGATGTTACTTTTTATTGGATAAATTCATTAAAAATTTAAATTAAAGCCTACCAAATTAATTATTATTTCCATTAGTAAATCCTTTTGGAGAATCCCATTTTCAAAATTAATGTTGAGTCTCCTTTAATTAGGACAAATTAAATGGTAAGATATTCAACCCATATTTTGCTTAATCATTATTTTATGAAAATGATACATATTCATAATAAGACTAGGATAAGTAGAATCAAATTCAGTTTTATTCAAAAGAGTGTCTGCAAAAAATGATTAATCTAGGTTCAATCTATGAANCAATATCTTTAGTTTGGGCGTTATTATGTATTTGGTATGCATTAATGTTTATTAAGATTGTTGCTGGATATATGCCATTTAAAGCACCTACTGCCACATAAATCTTAGAGTTAAATAGAAAATGTTAAGTTAGTTTTGATAAATCTCCTTGGTAGGATGTTAATCCAGATTTAAAATACTTAATTAAAAAGATGCTTGAATTTAAAATTGAAGATAGAATAAGTTGCTAAGAAATTTTAGAGAGCCCTTATATTTTATATCATTCACGTCAGACTTCAGAAACTAATTATAAGTCTAACTAAATCTTAAGTGGACTAGAATTAGATAAATGTAACAGGCAATCAATGAAAAGTATTAAATAAAGTGAATAATCTAATGATAGAAGCAAAGAATTTTAATTAGATTTTTCAATTCATACAAATGATATTAAATCTCTCTATTAAAGGAATTCTTAAAAAACTAATAAATCTAATCGATCGATAAATTCCTTAGCTAAAAATTCATCACAAAAAAAAATATCACGATCAGTACCTAAAGAATGTTAGCTTTCAAAATTTTAAAGTACAAAAAAAATGGAAGATTAGGAATCGCATAAAAGTTAAAGCAAAAAATAGAGTTCTTTTGGAGATGTTTTGATATGTAAATGATATGATTATGATTTTACTAGAATAAGATCAAAAGATTATAACATTTGAAGACACAGACTCTTTAAATTTGGAATAGATTCTATATTTAAAAAGATCTGGTGTGGTATTTAATAAAGTGAAAAAACCACTCATTTAAACTTCCAACCAAGACAACTGAACTATTAATTTTGATAAATTTTGTTTTTTAATTCTAATAAAGAAAGTTTATAAAAAATAAAATGTTGATTAACCTTTTATTCCTTTGATGTGTAATTCTTTTTATTCTTTTATTTTTATTAATCTTTTGATAGGATAATTTTTTAAGGATGTTACTTTTTATTGGATAAATTCATTAAAAATTTAAATTAAAGCCTACCAAATTAATTATTATTTCCATTAGTAAATCCTTTTGGAGAATCCCATTTTCAAAATTAATGTTGAGTCTCCTTTAATTAGGACAAATTAAATGGTAAGATATTCAACCCATATTTTGCTTAATCATTATTTTATGAAAATGATACATATTCATAATAAGACTAGGATAAGTAGAATCAAATTCAGTTTTATTCAAAAGAGTGTCTGCAAAAAATGATTAATCTAGGTTCAATCTATGAAACTTGTACTTTATTCTTCTTTATTTTAATATGATAACTTGATGGCATAATAAAATGTTAATCTATATTAAATACACAAAATTATTGAAATTTATATAATTCTAATAATTATAAAATAATCCACAAATTTGATTGATGATTACACAGTAGATTATTGTAATAATGACATATTCACTTTATCGCTTTAAACTTAATATTAGTGCTTATAATGACTCATTTTAATTTATTATAATAAGTTATTGAATAGAAATCTTCTAATCCATAAATTTAATAATGGCTGAATAAATTGATATTCTAGATTTTAATGAAGCTCATAGGAACAGAAACTCATAAAATTAAGAGACTGATAGATTTTCAGCTCGTAAAATAAAATAATTACTAACTCTTGAAGACGTAGATTCATGGGTGGAATAAATTAATATGCCTCATACCCGAAATTTTGAATTCCCATCTTCAATAGAAAAAGCAACAATTCATTCTTAGAGTTTTTATATCCACCCAAATAAAAAATTTCTTAAAGAAAACCCTAAAATAATTAATTGTGATTGTTGTGGATAAATGATTAGGAGAAAGAGATATAATATATTTACTTGTGATATGTATAGCATTTTTGCAGGAGAATATGGAATAAGTATACCCTTATATTTCTCAATTATTAAACTGCATTTTTTCATTCTATTAGCAATAGGCTGCATTTTCGGAATTTATTATTGCTATTTATCAGATAAATATTGTTCATAACTTAATCAAAACAATCACACTCAAAAGGAGCTTTATGAATAATACTGTGCTTCCTTTTTGGCTGCTTAACATTTCTTATTATATAATTTTAATCAGTAAGAGATTATCAACAAGAATTATGGGGAACAGTATACCTTTTATATTTTAGGATATGTTGCTTATCTTATTATGATGATGACACCTTTAATGCATGAAGTTTTATTGAGATTGTAATAAATTAAATATTGGAATTATGATTCATTAAATCATATACGTATCCCTAAATTAACTCTTTATATTAAACATATCCCAAAAAAGTTTAATGAATAAGAATTATAATTATATATTTAGAATGCTATTGCAAGTAAATACAAAGATAAAATTGGAGGAAAATTTATTGAAGAAATTGTATATATATATGACATTCATCCAATTAAGGTTTTAAATGAAAAAAGAAAGGAAACTTATCTAAAAAGTTTATAAATAGTGAATGAACTTAAAATTAATCCAAAATTAGAATTAAAAGGATAATTGATAGATTTAGTATTTTAGTTAATAAAATAAACAAGGGATATTTAAAAAACATTATAATATGGTTTACCATTTACTTAGAAAGTGATTTTAAAATTTAATTCAGAATCAGTAACTAATTTGGTTTATAAATTTTATGATAAATCATTTTTCAATAATTTACTATAAAAAATAGAAACCATAAAAGAATCTGCATAAAACTATTAAGAATTTTAAAAAGATAAATTTGAATTATAAGCATAATTACTAGAATAATCTGAAACCAATAGTTCAAAATCGTCAATTATATCTCAATAATCTGATCTCTAAGAAATGGTAAGAAGCTAATCTGAAATATTCAACTAACCATCAGAATTAAAGGCAAGGATGAAATAGAGTATAATAGATCTTTTAAGACTACCTGAGAATGATGAATAATAGGAATAAACTATGTAATAATCAACTATAGATGAGAAAAAAGGGTTACATTTACAGAGAGGATTTCGATAGGATGATATATTTTGGGAGCATATAGGCATGCATACATTAAAAAGATTTTTTTTAAGGCTTATAACTACATGTATAACTTTACTTGTTGGTATCATAATTATGGCTCTATTTGAAATACTTTTTATTTTGGAATAGCATTTGAAAAGATAAGTTGGTTGGGTTAGTAGCTTGATTGTGATTGTAATGACATTATTTACAGTATTCCTTTCTGTCTTTTCAACAATATTAGTTATCTTTATGACTAAGAGATCATAGAGATCTACATATTCTTTATAAGAGAAGAATATTATTACATTTATGTCACCAATTTAGTAAGTCTGTATATTAGCTTTTCCATTCATTTTTGTGTTAAGTATCCTACAAAAACATTCTGCTTTGAATAGCATAGCTGTTGTATTAGCAGTAAGCAAATTAGCTTAAGTGAGACTTATTTCTAAAGGATTAATTCACTTTTTTCATTTAAGATCTGTTAAATTCAACTCTATAAAGAAGAAAACTATGAAGAATTTTATGCCAACTTCATATTTTTAAAAATAATTAAACTAATTACTAACTCCTCCTCTCTTTCCTATAAGAAGCAGATTATTTTATATTTTATTTATTTATAGCACAGGCATGATGATGATATTTTTTAATCCTATTATGATTGTATGGTGTTTAGTATTATAAATTATTTTCTTCTACTATGATAAATATAGTGTGTTGAATGAATATCATTATGACAAACTATTTACCTTTTAACTTTAAAAATATTTAATTCTAACTTATTAGGTAATTATGATTCCTATATATTGTTACATATACGTAGTTACCTTCACAAATACAACATCCCATATAGGAGCAGATGGTTCAGTATTCAATAATTATTTATTTTTAGCTAATAAATGAATACTCGACTGTTTCCTCTTTGTGGACATTTCTGGGATATGGAACCTGTGTTTTATCATTTACCAGTTTCTTGTTTTTCCGATAACAAATTGCCAATTTCTTTGTATTTGTAGTACTCAGATATTAAAAACCTTTGAGAGACTCAACTATATTTAATGAGAAATCATATTTTCAAAGTTATAATGAATATTTTCATGGTAAATTTAAGATATTATTTTTAAGATTTAGGAGTACATGAATTAAATACTATTCTTGAGGATACATTTAAAAATATGTAATATAAATCTAAATGAATATATATTAAATCATTAAATCAATTAATTTTTCTATTTTATAGTATATTTTAGCAACTTATCATAATAAAAAAGTGATTAAAGCTACTAAAGTTAATAAATATAATTTAAATGATTTTATTTATGACTTTGTTTATCTTTATAATTAAAGGTAAACCTAATTAATCAGGAACACTTGAGACAAATATTGAATATTAAATAAAATTAGATTACTCATCAAAAGCAAATAGTATAATAATCAAATTTTATTTGTATTCATAAAATGTTGTGTGTTTAGTATCCTAAACTAATTTAGATTAAGTTTTATTTACAGATTTAACTGATTCCAAAAATTAATCTTTTAGTTATGATTATTAAAGTTATTTAGCTAATAGTGCTTATTAATTAGTAGAAATAGAGTTTTAAACAATTATTTATATAAGATGTTTACAATCACATTAGAATAGTGAAAAAAGTTCTTATGAATTATATATATCAGAAACTCCATATATAGACACTTGTAATAATGATTGTAATGGTTATAATTATCCAGAAATACAAAATTCAGTTTGTTTATCTATGTAATGTAATTGTTTAGATTTAAATTTTGGACTTTATTGCCAATTTTAATCATCTAACATATATAGCAATATATATTATAAATTAACAATAGAATCTTATAAATGGATATATTTAAAATATGAATTAAGTACAACTAATATAGAATTTTAATGTATAAATGAAGTATAGGATGTATGTAAAATATTTCATAATAATATAGTTTATAGTTTTGTATTTTAAAAAACACCTTAAAAGATAATACCAACAATAGAAAATAGTTAGTAATTAAAGTCTATAACAAATATTTAAGAATAATTAATAAACAATTAAACAAATAATAATGCTGACGTAATCTATATAGGACTTTATAATAATTAATCAAAAACAATTGATTTATAATTTAAAATAGTTACTTATAATGATGATAATAATGAATCTATGTTTGAACGTAATAAAATAATTATTATAATAACTGCTTGTGTAATTGCAACTTTATTATTATTTGCTATTGGTATATCTGCATTAAGAACTAGAAAATAAAAATAAATTAGAAAATAAGTATAAGAAGATATACGTAGAAATTTAAATAATGATTAATAATAAACTAATAGAGTATTTGATCCAGCTATATATAAAGGTAATATTAATATAATTAATAAGGTTTCTAAATTAGATTTATTAAAGATCATTTTAAAGCTCATTATTATGATAAATTTATATCAATATATCCTGGATTATCATAATTTTAAGAATGTGCTGTATGTTTAGAATAAATGAATAAAGGAAATAATAAATTATAAAGAATTTGTTCTGTAACACCTTGTTTTCATATATTTCATTATATATGTCTTTAAGAATGGTTATTAAGATAAAAAAATTGTCCATTTTGTAGAACTGAATATACTAGAAAAAAGATTATTTAAGATTTTCCATGGTTAGATATTGGAAATTTATAAATCAAAAATACTGATTCTAATTATCTATCTAGAATCAAAAATTAAATTGAAAGTGTTAATGAAAGTCGTATAGAATTAAATAATCATTAATAAATACAATAAACACAATAATTAGAAGAAATTAAAGATTGATTTTTATTTATACTATAAATAATTATCATTAATAATCCTAATAGATTAGATGCTTTGGCCGAGTGGTTAAGGCGGCGGCCTGCTAAGCCGTTGGGATTTCCCGCGTGAGTTCGAGTCTCACAGGCATCGATTTTTTTATTTTTCAATTAATACTATTATTTATATCTATTATTACTATAATAAATTTATCATATATTATTATACAAATATTCTAAATTATTTTATTTATAATCAAAAATTCATTATTTATATTATATTTCAGCTAAATCTCTATAGTTTCTTAGATTTACATGAAGAGATGAAGATGTAAATATCATAATAATAGAAGTACTAATAGATATATTGTAACTAAAAAAATGATGAGTAAAGAAATTTAACAAATTTATTTTCAAATAAAGCATCAAAAAAGCTTACCACTTATGTTCTATAAAATAATTATATTAAATTTAAATTTTTTCATAAAGCTTGTAAATAATTGAATCAATGAAAACGATATTTTTGTTATGTTAAGAAAANCATATATAGCAATATATATTATAAATTAACAATAGAATCTTATAAATGGATATATTTAAAATATGAATTAAGTACAACTAATATAGAATTTTAATGTATAAATGAAGTATAGGATGTATGTAAAATATTTCATAATAATATAGTTTATAGTTTTGTATTTTAAAAAACACCTTAAAAGATAATACCAACAATAGAAAATAGTTAGTAATTAAAGTCTATAACAAATATTTAAGAATAATTAATAAACAATTAAACAAATAATAATGCTGACGTAATCTATATAGGACTTTATAATAATTAATCAAAAACAATAGATTTATAATTTAAAATAGTTACTTATAATGATGATAATAATGAATCTATGTTTGAACGTAATAAAATAATTATTATAATAACTGCTTGTGTAATTGCAACTTTATTATTATTTGCTATTGGTATATCTGCATTAAGAACTAGAAAATAAAAATAAATTAGAAAATAAGTATAAGAAGATATACGTAGAAATTTAAATAATGATTAATAATAAACTAATAGAGTATTTGATCCAGCTATATATAAAGGTAATATTAATATAATTAATAAGGTTTCTAAATTAGATTTATTAAAGATCATTTTAAAGCTCATTATTATGATAAATTTATATCAATATATCCTGGATTATCATAATTTTAAGAATGTGCTGTATGTTTAGAATAAATGAATAAAGGAAATAATAAATTATAAAGAATTTGTTCTGTAACACCTTGTTTTCATATATTTCATTATATATGTCTTTAAGAATGGTTATTAAGATAAAAAAATTGTCCATTTTGTAGAACTGAATATACTAGAAAAAAGATTATTTAAGATTTTCCATGGTTAGATATTGGAAATTTATAAATCAAAAATACTGATTCTAATTATCTATCTAGAATCAAAAATTAAATTGAAAGTGTTAATGAAAGTCGTATAGAATTAAATAATCATTAATAAATACAATAAACACAATAATTAGAAGAAATTAAAGATTGATTTTTATTTATACTATAAATAATTATCATTAATAATCCTAATAGATTAGATGCTTTGGCCGAGTGGTTAAGGCGGCGGCCTGCTAAGCCGTTGGGATTTCCCGCGTGAGTTCGAGTCTCACAGGCATCGATTTTTTTATTTTTCAATTAATACTATTATTTATATCTATTATTACTATAATAAATTTATCATATATTATTATACAAATATTCTAAATTATTTTATTTATNCATATATAGCAATATATATTATAAATTAACAATAGAATCTTATAAATGGATATATTTAAAATATGAATTAAGTACAACTAATATAGAATTTTAATGTATAAATGAAGTATAGGATGTATGTAAAATATTTCATAATAATATAGTTTATAGTTTTGTATTTTAAAAAACACCTTAAAAGATAATACCAACAATAGAAAATAGTTAGTAATTAAAGTCTATAACAAATATTTAAGAATAATTAATAAACAATTAAACAAATAATAATGCTGACGTAATCTATATAGGACTTTATAATAATTAATCAAAAACAATAGATTTATAATTTAAAATAGTTACTTATAATGATGATAATAATGAATCTATGTTTGAACGTAATAAAATAATTATTATAATAACTGCTTGTGTAATTGCAACTTTATTATTATTTGCTATTGGTATATCTGCATTAAGAACTAGAAAATAAAAATAAATTAGAAAATAAGTATAAGAAGATATACGTAGAAATTTAAATAATGATTAATAATAAACTAATAGAGTATTTGATCCAGCTATATATAAAGGTAATATTAATATAATTAATAAGGTTTCTAAATTAGATTTATTAAAGATCATTTTAAAGCTCATTATTATGATAAATTTATATCAATATATCCTGGATTATCATAATTTTAAGAATGTGCTGTATGTTTAGAATAAATGAATAAAGGAAATAATAAATTATAAAGAATTTGTTCTGTAACACCTTGTTTTCATATATTTCATTATATATGTCTTTAAGAATGGTTATTAAGATAAAAAAATTGTCCATTTTGTAGAACTGAATATACTAGAAAAAAGATTATTTAAGATTTTCCATGGTTAGATATTGGAAATTTATAAATCAAAAATACTGATTCTAATTATCTATCTAGAATCAAAAATTAAATTGAAAGTGTTAATGAAAGTCGTATAGAATTAAATAATCATTAATAAATACAATAAACACAATAATTAGAAGAAATTAAAGATTGATTTTTATTTATACTATAAATAATTATCATTAATAATCCTAATAGATTAGATGCTTTGGCCGAGTGGTTAAGGCGGCGGCCTGCTAAGCCGTTGGGATTTCCCGCGTGAGTTCGAGTCTCACAGGCATCGATTTTTTTATTTTTCAATTAATACTATTATTTATATCTATTATTACTATAATAAATTTATCATATATTATTATACAAATATTCTAAATTATTTTATTTATAATCAAAAATTCATTATTTATATTATATTTCAGCTAAATCTCTATAGTTTCTTAGATTTACATGAAGAGATGAAGATGTAAATATCATAATAATAGAAGTACTAATAGATATATTGTAACTAAAAAAATGATGAGTAAAGAAATTTAACAAATTTATTTTCAAATAAAGCATCAAAAAAGCTTACCACTTATGTTCTATAAAATAATTATATTAAATTTAAATTTTTTCATAAAGCTTGTAAATAATTGAATCAATGAAAACGATATTTTTGTTATGTTAAGAAAATAGGCTATTTAAAATCGATGAATATATGATTATAATAAATTAAACTTAAAAATTAGTTGAAATTTTCTTCAAATGAGGATTGCCAAAATCCAACTTGAATAAAGTTTTTATAAACGTTTAAGTATAAGAATAGTACATAATATTATATATTTTAAATAAAAGAAGTAAAGAAAAAATTAATCCATAAAATTTAATATGTATTGATAGATAATATTGAAAATTGTAATTATATCAATTCATTTAAAATATAAAGCTTGATAGAAAAAAAAAGTTGATTATTAATGAAATGATATATAAAAGCATTACAATATAAATATTATTATTATTTACTTGAAGTTCCTAAAATAATAATTTCATAATTATTTTCATGTCATAAACTTTGAATAAATTAGGAATTGAATATAAAGAGATCAATTAAATTTAAGTTGAAGAAGCAACACAATCTATAAAATAGATGAGGCTAGAATAAGTTTTAATTGGAGAATGCGAAAATTTTGGTTGGTAGAATCTCATCAATAGACATGATTTAATTATTGTAAAAAGCTTAGAGAAATCGATGAAAGAATAAAAAAAAGCCTACAATTAGACTCTCTTTATTTTTAGTAATAAGAATCCAATAAGAAAGGGAATAACAAAACTTATTAGAAACTAGTAAAATTATTTGGAATAAATTTAGAAATTACACCTACTTTATAACACTAATAGCTGCCTTATGTCTAATACCGTATTGTATAAATGAGAAAAGATTAGCAATAAGTATAGAAGTAGTTTGTAATATTATATTTGGATTTGATATTCTTTTATTTATAATAGCCTATGGGGTGATTTTGGATAAGAAAAGTTATTTAAGAGATTGTTGGAATATTGCTAATGTTTTGGCTTTTATTTTTACTTGGTTTATATTTTTGGAAGATAATAAAGTCAATGATGTAATAAAAACGATTAGACTTTTGAGATTATTTAGATTGATTTAAGAAATACCTCTTCTAAGAATTTAATTTACAGCTTATGTGAGTAGTTTCTTGAAACTAAAATAAGTTCTTATTCCAATATTTTTGGTGATGATTTATTTTGCAATAATTGGATTACATTTATTTATAGGATTGACAGAAAGAAGATGCAGATTAACACCAGAACCAGTAGATGGGGTATGGCTAGCTGATGATGATGTCTTAAAACTTTGTGGAATATGGCAATGCCCAGAAGAACTTTATTGTGGTAGTCCAGTAGATTATGGACTTCCAAAGAATGCTACCGAAAATGATGTAGCTGAATTTAACTGGGACTTTACTAGATTCGATGACTTTTTTCATTCCTTACTAGTTGTTTTTACATTTCTTAATGTTACAGGATGGTCTGGAACAACTTTTATGGTATTTCTATAATAAATATCTATTTTAGTTTTGGAAAGCTATGACTACATATGTGACTGCAACTTATTTTTTGGTATTAATAGTGTTATTAGCATTTATATTATCAAATTTATTACTAGCCTTGTTTTATGAGTCATTTATGGAAAAATCTTCAATAAAAAATTCTTCAAGCAAGGCAAAAAAATAAGAATAGGAAATCGAAGATGATTTGAAAAAAAAAAATTAAGAATAGTTAATGAATAGATTGGCTCTTATGAGTAAGTAAAAATCGCAATTAGTTAGTCAAAATTAATCATTTAATGGTTAATTAAATTTAGAATAATAATTTTAGTTTGATCAAACAATCTTCTAACAAACATAATAAATAAAATTTTTTTATTCTCTTTCAAATTCAAGAAATTTTAACTTTATTAATAATTTATGCATTATATTATCAGGTTTAGCCATCATTATAGATTATAAGGATATTTCAAAAAAGACTTTAGAATAATTACAAATAGTTGATTTTTTCTGTATCATATACTCACTTGTAGAAATGGCTATCCTAATTTCAGGGAGAGGATTGAAGGGATACTTTTCTAAAGATATTAATAAATTCGACTTTTTCGTTATCTTCTCATAATGGATCTTAGTTTTTGTATTAGTTGTAATAAATGAACCTTTGATAATAAATCATAATGTTTATGTAACCTTTTTTAAATCATTAAAAATTTTGAGAATTTTTAGATTTGTTTATAATGCTAAATTATTTTATAAAATTGCTATATTGATGAGATCATTGGTACTCACACTTACAAGACTCAAAAATATTTTGGCACTTTGGGCCTGCCTAGTAATTTTAATAGCAATAGTTGGAAAAAGCTTGCTTTAAAATAAATTAAAAGAAGAATATATGACTATTTATTATGATGACTTTGGATCAGCCTTAATGGCAGCAGTTAATATATTTTATAATGAAGAATGGCATGTGACTATGTATAAATATGCTAGACATACTTATGTTTCATTTTTCTTCTCCATTTTGAGTGTTATTTTGGGATAGATATTTTTCATTAGACTGTTAATGGCTGTATTTTTGAATGAATTTGTTTAATAATTATAAAAAGTAGAAAATGAACTAAAGCCAATCGATTATAAATAATTCATATAGTTGATTGTTTAACTTTTATAATTTAAAGATAAAAAGAAAAAGAAAAGAATTATCAATTATTAATCTTAAAAGTCTGATGAAAAGAATTAAATAGAAGAATAAAATAATAAAAAAGAGAAAAAGGAATTTAGAAAAGAGAATAAGACAAACTCAAATTTAAATTAGAATATTCCCCTATAAGAACTTGAGGAACTTTAAAATTGGCTATAAGTTGATTAACAAAATTAAGAATAATAAGAAATAAAATCAAATTTAAGTAATAACAATAATTAAAATGAAAAGGAAAATCCTTAGAATCCTTAAAATCCTACACAATCCAAAATAAATAATGATAATGCATCGAAAATTCGACAAATAGTTGATTCTTTTATATTCTAATTATTCTCTTTACTGATAGTTTTAGCTAGTACAATAAGGGTTGGAATGTCAACTCCATTTCTTGATCCAAATTCGTAAACAAGCTAAATTTTGAAGATTGTAAACATAATTACAACCATACTATTTATAATTTAGATTATTTTAAATGTAATAGCAAGAGGATTTATAAAAGGTGAGGAATCATACATATAAAGATCCCCTTATAATGCATTGAATGTATTAGTTACACTAGTAGAAACTATTGGCCTATTTTTGCCTTCCCACACTATTTTTCACTTTTTTTCAAGTCTAAGAATTCTCGAGTTTATTAGAATAGGAACATATTTGAGTTAGAGCATTAATTATATTTCTTAAGCTTTAGTAAAGGCATTTCAAACTATGTTACAATTAAGTATATTTTGCTTTATAATACTACTAATATATGGTACTTTTGCAACTAAAATACTTAAAGGATAAATGTATTATTGTTCAAGTATATCAGAAGAAGAAGAATTTGAGATAAATGATAAATGGGATTGTATGGATTATGGAGGATCATGGGTAAATAGAATTTTAGGATATGATAACATATTTGATAGTGCATTAACATTATTTATAACTGCTACAACTGAAGCATGGTTAGAATTATTAGTAAATACTTGGAGTGCTAGAGGAGTAGATTTAACTCCAGTTAATAATCATAATAGATGGTGGGCTGTCTATTATTAAGTATTTTTCTTTATTGGAAATATATGCATGCTTAATATGTTTATAAGTTTGGTGGTTGAAACTTACTAATAGACTAAGATAAAGGCTTAAGGAATGTCAGAATTGAATAGCAATTAAAGAGAGTGGTTGTCTATTAAAGAGAGCATTAATCATTTAAAACCAAGAAGATTATATGAGAAACCAAAGACTAAGGTTGGTTCATTCATATATGATATAGCAGAGAGTAAAGTTACAAAATATATTTGGCATGCTATAATATTATTAAATACATTTACACTTGCATTATATTACAATAGACAAGACAAGTACTTTACTGATGCTCTAGATTATATAAATCTAATTTGTACTATAGCTTTCACGGTAGAAGTATTATCAAGAGTGATTGCTAAGTTTCCTAATATTTACGATAGAGATCCTTTCATTATTGTAGATGCAATAGGAATTATTATAAATCTCATTAACTAATTTAGTATATCATAAATGAATGATGAATTCTATCTTAGAAGAGGATTTGAAGCCCTCTCTGTTGCATTTCAAGTATTGAGAAATTATTACATCATAAAGTATGATTTGTTGTTTCATAATATTTAGACGTTTTCCAGAATTGGAGAAGCTATTTCATACTATATTCTCTGTTGTACCATCAGCGTTATCTATGTTATTTATAATGTTCATATTTTTATTCATTTTTGCTTGTTTAGGAATGGATCTATTTGGTTATTTAAGACCTTAAAGTAAGATGGAGGGATTCGATTTACATTTTAAGAAATTTACTACTGCAATGTTTTCGTTGATAAGAGTGGCCAGTTCTGAAGAATGGTGGGCTCTGCTTATTGATTCTGTTCATGTTCGTACTCCTGATTTTGCTTGCATTTATATAAAGGGATATGAGGAATTCCAAGAATATGGTTATAATGGATGTGGTACATATTGGGCATATGTTTTTTATGTTTCTTTTCATTTGATATTTTCACTTGTGATTTTAAATCTATTTATTGCCTCTATTTTAGGAGCTTATGATGAACATGCTAAATAAGAATAAAGTGCTATATCTAAATACTAATTGCATGATGTATTAAATTATTGGGCTTAATATGATCCTAATGGCACTGGATTTTTGAATTATAAACAATTCTGGAAGTTATCATCTGAAATTGCTATTTGTTTTGGTGTTCCTGTAAAAGATCTATTAGACCCTGCAAATAAAAAGAATTTTCTCAAAGCCTTAAATATCCCATTATATGAAGATGGAGAAGGATTAATTGGTTATCTTTTTCATGATGTAATCGTGAGTTTAACAAGATTATCAGTAGAATTAAAATATAATGTTAGAGAGTACATTATTATTCAATTATAATAGTTTGGAATCTGACACGTATAAGGGTAAGGAATAGGTTCATCAGTATTATAAAAAATTCAAAAAGACTCCTTATTATAGTGGTTAGATGTCAACAATGATTTATTTATAAGGTAAAGCAAGAATGCTTATAAATAAAAGAAAAGGAATTAAGTTTCTTGATTTAGGAGCATTAAAATAGGAACTTTAAAACTAAAATGAAGGTGACAAATTTGATAAATCTTGAATTATAATAATAATAATTAATATTGTCTAAATACAACAAATTTATCATAATGTCATCCACCTATAAAAAATTGGGAATTGAATTTAAACCCTTTACTAAAGATCAAATTTCTGACTCAATAGCTTAAATTCAATCTATGAGATTAGAACAAATACTTGTTGGAGAGAGTGAATAATTTGATTGGAATAATTTGCTCTAAAAACCTGAGTTAGTTGATTGTGTGAATTTAGAATAGATTTAACCAGACCTAGATGAAAATAAATAGGTTGGACAATTTAGTGCAAAGAAGACATTGTTTTTATTCAAAATTGATGATCCCTTTAGAAGAAGCGTTACCTCATTTTTAAGCAATAAGTAAGATAAGTTCTATAATTAGAGCCTTGAGTAATTTTATAATTGTAATTACAATACTAAATATAGTTGCCTATTCTATTCCTTAAAGTAATGTTTCAATTGGAATAGAAGTAATATGTAATATATTCTTTGGGATTGAAATAATTCTGAGGGTCATATCTTAAGGGCTTATATTTGAGGAAAACACTTATCTTAGAGATAAGTGGAATTGTATTCACTTTATTTCCTTTATTTTTGGTTGGATAATACTAATTGATTATGATCACATAGTCTTAACAATTTTGAAGACAATAAGATTATTACGAGTCATTAGATTGTCTGAAGAAATATCACCTTTAAAGATTTAATTAGAAGCCTATATTAGTAGTTTTTCTAAGTTGGGAATAGTAATAGTACCTTTTATTTTTTTTTTGCTTTATTTTAGTGTAATAGGATTACATTTTTTTATGGGATTAACTACAATGAGATGTAGATTGACTCCAGAACCTGAAGATGGTATATGGGAAGCTTCAGAAGAAGTACCATATTTATGTGGTATTTATGAATGTCCTGAACACTTAACTTGTGGGAGTCCATATCAATATGGTTTAGAATGGGATCATAAGGAAAATGATTCTGAAGAGTTTATGTGGAATTTTTTAAGATTTGACAATTTACCTAATTCTTTATTAGTAATTTTTACTTATTTTTGTTTAATTGGATGGTCTGAAACTAATTATATGGTAATTATTATTATGATTATGTTTTAGTTTTGGAAAGCTATGACTACATATTTTACAGCTGGATTCTTTCTTTTAGTATTAGTTTTTTTAGCCTTTATATTTTCAAATTTATTGCTTGCAACTTTTTATGAATCTTTTATTGTTAAATCTTCTATTAAAAATTCACATTAAAAAGTTAAGAAATAATAATAATAAATTGAGACTGAAATAAATCAAAAAAAATAATAATAAATGACTGATAGACTAGCACTTATGAGTAAAAAAAGAAAAAGTATGAAATAGGAATAAATATAAAATTCAAATTTTACATTATTCTTTTAAGATCATTAATAAAATGGTTTTAAAAAAGGAATCTCATTAACTAATATTTCTAATGAATTATCTTAATCAATTTACTTTGCATTTATTAATAACCTTATAATTATTTTATGTACATTATCAATTGTTATAGATTATGATGGTTTAGATTAAACCATGCTTATTAAATTACAAATCATAGAGTTTGTTTGCACACTTTATTTTTATTTTGAATTGTTAATTTTCTTTTTTGCAAAAGGAATAAAGAACTATTTTAAAAAACCAATAAATTATCTAGACTTTATTGCAATAATATCTTAATTAATTTTATTTTGTATTCTGTATATTTTAGATGAAAATGTTATTATAAATCAAAATAGAATTATATAAGTATTCAAGGCTATAAAGTTGATAAGAATTATAAAATTTTCATATTCAGCTAAAATCTTTTATCATATTAGTATTTTGACTCGAGCAGCTATTCAAACAATAGCTAAATTGAAATCAATAATTTCTTTATGGATTATTTTTGCCATATTTATAGCATTAGTAGGTAATGCCTTATTGAAATAATAATTATCTGATCATGAAACTCCAATTCATTATAATGATTTTAGTAATTCATTAATGGCAGCATTTAGTATATTCTATAATGAAGAATGGCATCTAACTATGTATAGATATGGGAGAGTCACTCCTATATCATTTATTTACCATATAATATCTATATTATTAGGATAAGTCATATTCATTAAATTATTATCAGCAGTGTTTTTAAATGAATTTACTAAATAAGTTAAAATCCAAGAATAGAATGTTAAACCAATTGAATATAAGTAGGCTGCCATAGATTTAATGACAACATTTAAATAATTTACAGTATTAAATAGTTATATATAGTTATAGTCTTCAAGTTAATTAAGATCAACTCATTAATTAACAAGGGGTATATCTAATTTTCCAGGTAATAAATCCTTAATATAGAATGTAAGATAAGGTATCCTAAGAAATTTGAAATTAAATAAAAAAATTACAAAAATAATAGTACCTTAGAAATCATAATTGGAATTGGATAATTTAGATTTTTTAAAAGATTAATAGTTAAATACAAACAAACCTTAATTTAATGAAAATGAGAATGATGAATTATTGCATCAACCATAAGCAATTTTATAAAGATCAAGAGATTTAAGTATTTAAGTTGATTAAAATATTGTAACCAGTTAACAATAAATATAAACTAAAGTTTAAGTGATGAAGACATTATATGTATTTAATGTGGATAATTAATTTCGTTTGCATGTACAGATGATAATAAATTCGAGAATATTTAAAATATTGGGATTTATTGCTGTTGGATTATCTGCTATTAGAACTATGTTAGTAACTCCATTATTAGATCCTCATTCTCAGCTTTATATAAGTTTAGACATATTATACATTATAATAACAAGCTTATATTGTCTTTTTATATTTCTTCATATTATAGCACATGGACTATATGGAAATTAAAATGCTTTTTTAACATAATCCTTTTATAATGTTTTAAATTTTATAATAACTGTTATTGAAATTGTTGTAGTTACAACTTCTATTCGAAATCATGTTATTAATTTTATATCAAGTCTTAGAGTTTTTGAATTTATAAAATTAGGGGCTGAAATTAATCATAGTATCAAATATGCCTAAGTAGCTTTGATTAATGCATTAGTCAAAATGGTTTAATTAAGCATATTTTGCTTTATTCTTTTTTTAGTATATGGAACATTTGCAATGAAACTTTTAAAAGGATATAATTATTATTGCACAGAAGTAGATTAAGAAGAATATCAAGTGCATTCTAATATTGATTGTATGGATTATGGAGGTTCATGGTAAAAACATAGATTAGGTTTTGATAATATATTGGATAGTGCATTGACTCTATTTGTAATAGTAACATCAGAAGGTTGGTCACCAATTATGGAATAAATATGGTCAATAAGAGGAGAGAATCAAACTCCTGAAGAAAATTATAATAGGTATTGGGCGATTTACTTTTAGGTATTCTTTTTTATTGGAAATACATGCATGCTTAATATGTTTATAGGGTTAGTAGTAAGCACCTATGATGAATCAAAATTGAAAGCTGAAGGTACTTATGAATTAGAAGGTAATTAAAGAGAATGGTGTGATATTAAAAAATCAATTCATAAATTATAACCAAAAGTAAAATCAAGAAAACCAAAGACATTTATTAGAAAGATAGCATTCTTTTTAGTAAAGAATTAATTTTTAAAGAAAATATACTTAGTAGTTATTTTTATCAATACTTTATCTTTAAGTCTTTGTTATGTTAATCAAGGAGTTCAATATAAAAATAGTTTGGAAATTATTAATTTAGTTTGTATTCTAATTTTTATTTTTGAAATTGTTTCTAGATTTATAGCCAAAGAATTTAAAATCTATTTTAAAGAGTTAATAAATATAATAGAAATATTTGGAATTTGGATATGTTTAGCTGAAAAGATAATAGATTTAAATGGGATTGGAGAATTTTATTTTTTGCGTTGTTTTAAGGCTTTTTCAGTATCAATTTAAATGTTAAGAAATTTTAGAATTATTAAGTAAAAATTAAATTATATAATTTAAGACGTTTCAATCGAATAGAAAGATTATTTCATTCAATATTTTCTGTAATACCTAATGCATTATCTATGTTATATATTATGTTTGTATTTCTGTTCATCTATACGAGTCTTGGAATTGATATGTTTTGTTATTTAAGACCATAAAAATATATTGATGATTTTGATGTACATTTTAGAAAATTTACAACTGCAATGTTTTCATTAGTTAGAGTTGCAAGTTCAGAATTATGGTGGGAATTATTGGTAGATGCATTACATACTAGAAGTCCTGATTTTGCTTGTATAGAAATTGATGATTACTAAGATTTTTTAGTATATGGTTATAATGGATGTGGTACTAATATTGCTTATGTTTACTTTATAACATTTCATTTGATATTTTCTTTGGTTTTACTTAATTTATTCATTGCTTCTATTTTAGGAGCTTATGAAGAACATGCTAAATAGGAACAGAATGCTATATCAAAATATTAATTGAATGATGTTTTGTCTTATTGGGTAGAATATGATCCATATGGATCAGGGTTTTTAAATTATAAATAATTTTGGAGGCTTTCTTCTCAAATTGCTATATGTTTTGGAGTTAGTGGAAAAGATTTGTTGAACCCAGCAAATAAGAAGAACTTTTTAAAGGCACTTAACATACCTTTATATGAGGAAAAGAGTGGTTTAATGGGATATTTGTTTCATGACGTAATTGTATCTCTTACTAAGATTAGTGTTGAATTAAAATATGGAGTGAAAGAGTAATTACTATTATTATTTTATAGCTTAGAAAAGAAAAATTAATAAGAAAATGAATTTAATCATGATTATTATAGTTAATTTGTAAAGACTCCATATAATAGTGGATAAATGACAGCCATTATTTATTTATAGAATAAGGCAAGAACTTTAATAAATAAAAAAAGAGGGATAAACTTTTTAAATATTGAGGCTTTAAGATAAGAATTATAACAATAAGCTGAAAATTAATGATATTATTTTTATAGTTTATAATTTAATCTTATGGGGTGTTGCTGTTCTATTAAACCTCCAAGTCAAACAACTCTTGGAAGAGAAGTTGAGTGTCCAAAGTGTTAATAAGTATTTCCATCTTATACAACAAATCATGCTGTAATAATATACAAATTTAATTTGAAGTTTAATGATCATTTAGATAATTGTCTATTGTCTTCATAATAAAATATAAATAAAATAGAAGATTATAGAGGAATTAAATATTGGGAAAAGGTTTAAATTGAATAAGGATTTTAATGGGTCTTAAAAGAATACAACCCTAGTCTCTAAATCAATGAATAGGTAACTACGTTAAATAACAAAGAAAATATAACTAGAACCTTTTGGTTAAAAACAAGTTTGGTTCAGAGCTAAATTAGAAAAACTTAGAATTCCTTGGCAAGTAATTTTGACAACAAATACATTAGAATGGATGCACAATTCTGTCAGTTTCTTAAAATAATTTGCTAGAATCTTCTGTAGAGAGTATTATGAAATTAAAATCTCGTCTTTTACATGGGGAATTAAAAATTAAATTTCAGGAAGATCAAAAAGTTTAGGATGCAGGAGGTTTGCTAAGAGAATGGTCTACTTCTATTCTTTAATAATTAGTTTAATAGGGATATTTATAAAAAACAGAAACAAAAGAACTTACATATAAATTTAATACAAATATTTAATCAAATACTCTTGATAAACGATAACTTTTCTCTTTTTTAGGAATTATAGTTGGTAAATGCCTTTTTGAAAGAATTCCACTTAGTTCTTTTTTAGATCGTACAATTATTAAACATATCTTAAGATAAAAAGTAATCTTAGAAGATATAAAATATTTTGATGAAGATGTATTTATATAATATATTCTTTAGTTATTTTATTCTTGGTAATATTTATTAAATAATAATATTGATTAATTAGATTTATACTTTTAATTAGAATATATTGGTAAAACAATCGATTTAAAAGAGAAGGGATGTGAAATCAAAGTTACAAATTCTAATGTTGAGGAATATGTTAATTTAAAGTATCTTTATTTATATATACATAATAGTATATTCTACTACACTCAATAGTTTTTGGAACCTTACTTATCTGATTTTCTTACAGGATTCTATTAAGTTATTCCAAAATCTTTATTAAGAATATTCAAACCATAAGAATTAGAAATGATATTATTTGGACTTCCTTTTATTGATCTTTAAGATTGGTCCAAATATACAATATATAAAGAATGTTCTGCAGAAGATTACTTTATTTAATGGTTTTGGTAAATTTTGAGTAATTGGAATTAAGATGAACTATCTTAATTTTTGAGATTTTGTACTGGTTCAACTAGAGTTCCTGTTGAAGGATTTAGGTAATCATAAATATCTATAATGATAGCAAACTTGAAAGCAACAGAGGAGAAATTTCATACTTTTGTATTTAAGCCAGTAATTTTGATAAAGAAAATCCTTATCCTAAGGCTCATACATGTTTTAATAGATTAGAATTACCTAAGTAAATATATTTGGTAATAAAATTAATTAGATATTAAGAATTATAAACAATGGAAATGTTTTTAAAGGCAACTATTCATGAAGCATTAGAAGGATAATTTGGTTTGGAATGATTTTTTTATAACTTATAATGAATTTTAAGTTTAATTAGTTAGTTTCAATGAAATTTTAAATTAATCAATTTTTTTTCTTTATTATTTTTCTTTATTATTATTGAGGCTATTGTTATTATTAGTAATTATAAGTATTGGTATTATAAATAATGTTTAAATTTTATATTTTTATTTAAGGTTAAGATTATTTTAATGGTTGAGTTGCTTTTAATTATTAATTTTTGGAAGGTGCAAATGAGAAACCATTCCCAATATTAAATCCATTATATTATGTTTATGGTAATTTATCTACTGAAGTAGTCTTCTTCATATTTGGTAACTCTCTTTCAGCAGTATGTTAATCAGATATCTTATAATTATAAGCAGTACTCTACATTAAAACATGATTACTCAAAAAATTTGGAACTGGTTTAATGCTCTACTATTATAAAATCAATTACTTTTGTTCTTATTTAATTATTGTGTCCTATTTGAATTTGTTATCTCTATTAACTCAAAACAGAATCTCTTTTTTGATTTACATCATTTTAAACTTTATTCTATCTATTCTCTACTTGTTTAAGATATTCTTATGCTTCTGGATAATCAGCAAAATAAGGATGTTTTAATGCATCTAAACAAGTGAAACGTTCTTTAGGATCCATTCTTAATAATCCTTTCATCAATCCAATTGCCTTTTAAGGTAATTTACCTAGATATCTACAATTATTATTATTATATTATAAATACCTTCTTTCTATAGTTTCAGGTTTACCAATTTCAGGAAATTTCATTCCTAGAAATCTTGGATTCTTTTAAAATATTTCCATTTGTTCTTATGTTAAAGGACCAAGAGTCTTTTAGATCAAATACAATTAATCAGTTTCATTCTCTCCTGGAAACATAGGTTCACCATCTGTAAGTTCACAAAGTAAACAACCTATAGCCCATAAATCTACTCCTTTTCCATAGGTTTGATAATTCAATAGAAGTTCAGGAGATCTATACCATCTTGTTGCAACATAATCTGTTAAAGTATCTGGTATATTGAGGCTCTAAAATAAATTAACTTAAAACTTTACTCTGGCAAATCCAAAATCTATAAGTTTTAAGTTATTTTCATTATCAATTAGAATATTTTCAGGTTTGATATCTCTATGAACAATATCATGGTAATGAATAAATTCCATAGCCTTCAACAATTAAAATGCTATTTTCTTAAGGTATCCTTACTTACAATATTAAATATAATACATCTAAACCATTAGGGGATGCTTGTAAAACTTCAAGTAAATTCTTTTCGACATACTCAAAAACTAAATAGATTCTCCCTTTTCTTTTACATCATTTTTACAAATACCTTTTGAATGCTTCAAATAAATCAATAATATTTGGATGTTTCAATTGTCTTAACATCTTTACTTCTCTCTATATACTTTTTTTTACAATCTCATTATCTTCTGTCTCTTTGAACTTCTTTATTGCAACTAATAATATTAAATCTATCTACCAATCTGGTTATTCTCTTTATTTTCACATTTTAACACAATCCCATAAGCTCCCTCACCTACTACACCTTTAACTTCATACTTATTCATTGAAACTGAATTATATATTATTAATATAGAAATTATAAATTATTGTAAAATGTAATTTTTTAGGAGATCAAAGATTAGATTTAGTTATTACAATTAGATAATCGATAACATTTTGAGATTTTAATAACATCAATTTTATTAGTAGTTTATTTAAAAATGATTGATAGCTAAAATAGTTTGAAATAATTAACAGCCTATATTAGATTAGATATAAAATGTAAAATAAACTCTTTATTAAATTAATATGACATAAATTGATGAAATTTAAAATATATAAAAAAATGATTGAAAAATAAATTTTGTATTTATATAATTAACGTTTATTGAGTTTTAGAAAAGAATTAACTAGACAACGATTAATTTTGAATAATAAAAAATTCCTATTAATAGTAAAATCTAATTGATAATAATTATTTAATAATAAAAATGAGATAAAAATCTGACTCGTGTTTTAGTAGTCATAACAATAGATTGGATACTTTATGGAAAAAAGGTTATCCCTAAATATAGTATGGCTCTTAATTGGTCGCTATAAATGGTGTTAAAATCAAAGATGGTCAAAAAAATATTCTTTAATTTAAATTTGCTTATCTACAAAATAAATACTTAGTAGTGGATTAAAAGTTCGTAAACTTAGAAAATATTTAAATGAAAAAGGTGATTTTACAATAAAACAAATAATAAAGTATGGCATTTCTGAAATTCAATAATAATTTCGATTCTTTTGAAATAATAGGTTCAGTGCATTTGGTTAATGAAATATATAACTATTGTAAATTATTTACAATTTAAGATAATTTTGAGAATTATTATTAGATTATGTAGTTGATGGGTAGAGGATCATTTGCAAAAGTTTTCAAAATCAAATAAATAGAAAATTAAAAAATTTATGCAGTAAAAATATTTAATAAAATGAAAATGAAGGAAAACGAAGAAGAAAATTAAGTATATTATTTTATATCATTTTTAAGAAAGGTTTATGGAAAGAAATTCATATTATGAGATAAATGAATCATAAACATATTAATAAGTTGCGTGAAGTGTATGAAGATAATTATAAAGTTTATGTTGTAATTGATCTTTTGAATGGTGGTGATTTAATATCACATATTGAAAAACAAATTAAAGTATATGATGAATCTCTAGTAAGAAAACTAGTTTACAATTTATTAGATGCTTTAGTTTATATACATGAAAGAAAAATTATACATAGAGATATTAAACCAGAAAATTTAATTTTAAAAGAAGAAAATGATATTTCTAATATTGTACTAGCAGATTTTGGATTAGCAGACTATTATTAAAAGGATGGATAATATTTATTTAAAAGATGTGGTTCATTAGGTTATGTAGCTCCTGAAATATTACAAGATAAACATTATGATTTTAAAGTTGATATATATTCTTTAGGAATTGTAATGTTCTTATTATTAACTGGGGATTAAGCATTTAAAGGATCAAGTACTTAAGAAATTTTATAAAATAATACTTATGGTAAGATAGATGACTTCAAACTTGAATCTTGTCATGTAAGTTAGGATGCAAAAAATTTATGTAGATAAATGTTGAATATTAATTCAAACTAACGACTCACTGCAGAAGCAGCAATTAAACATCCTTGGTTTAAAGTTGATAATAATAATATTTCACTTCATGCTATATCAATAAACAGAATTCCATAAAATCTTAAAGTGTAAAAAGAGTTTTTGTTTAGCAATACTCCACTATGGGTTAATAAAAGCTTAAGAAACATTGGCGATTCTTCAGAGAATCTAGCTGCTTTAGGTATA